ATTAAATACCACCAAAAGAAAGCTCTAGTTGTGTGAAGAAAATGATAAAATTTTAGTTTGGGTACAATGTTGTATGACCGCGCAATTGTCATTCAAAGTGTGAGAGCGCTGAAACGTGAAAACTGGCCTGGGAAGGTGTAAAATTGCACGGTATTGAAATGGTTAAAAATCAGAACTGTCCCTCTCTCAATCAAACTGCATACTGTAAAGGTCCACCTGCCCGTGTCCATTAAATACATGTGCCTCTACCATGTGGGAGGGGGGGGGTTCTCAAAATTTGTAGAGTTAGGAACTACAGAATATCAGGGTGCTGCGACAAGGCTCTGTAGCTTACGCATGTATTTGTAAATGTGTGCTAACTAAATCCGTTTTTTAACACATACTGTTAGAAAAATTCCCAGCTCAGCTTGCCAACCAACCAAATTAATCTGTCTATTTTGTTGTATAATGTAAAGGGAACAGTTCTCATATGAAGACTGCATTCCAAAATCCGCCTGCTAAAGAGGAAGGACAACACCCCAGTTCTTAGGACTAGATAACCTGACGCAAAGCACAAATTACTGGCATGACAACCAGGCCCAAGGCCACACATAGCTAAGGCCAGTCAGGCTGGATGATCCACTTGTTCTGCAGGCACTTAGCACTAGTCCCACTGAGTGTTATGCAATAGAACATCTCCCCTGCTGCCAGTAACTTTGTGGCTTGTGCAATGAGAGGTAAAGGGTGTGGACAGGACACTGTGCCTTACAGTTGCTGCTACCCCCAGGAGTAAATAAAAAGAACCCCAACACAGTACCCACCGCCAGCCCACTCAAAGTTAAGTGATGAGTCTGAGGCAAAGTCAGGCTTGTCAGCATGTGCCAGGGCTTTGGACGTAGTAAACAGCACTCAAGAGAAATTTAACTGTGAAAGCCCCACATTGCTGCCAGGACATATGAGGAGTCACTACAAAATGCTTTCGAAGTACTAGGACAGCCTATGCTTAAAGGTGAGATTTCCAGGATTAGCGAGATCTGGCCTTAATTTACTAGAAGCTGCTATTTTAAGAGGAAAATCCTCAAGTCATAGCAGAAATATGATTTCGATCCTCCTAAGGAAACCAAGATAAACTGGAGCATGGCCAATGTTGGAAGGGTTACAGCTTCTAGGACTCACCAACAGTCTTTTATACAGAGTTCATTTCTCCTGTAGGCAGTGGTATAACCCATAGTTCCTGAAAAAGATTTATTGCGTCCTTCAATGGCCAATAAAGAACAAAGTTTTAGCTTTAAAACACTTTAAACCATGTGCAGAAATTATTAAAGCACTTTTTTTTGTTTCCCATGCCCAATACAACCACTTTATTAAAGTGATAAGTTTTTTTTTTTTCTAAATAACAAATATGTCATACTTATCTGCTATATGCAATGGTGTTGCACAGAGCAGCACCTGTTTTCAGGTCCCCCCACCGGTGCCCGACTCCCTCCCCTGCTCAATTCCCACCAGAAGCTGCTTGCGCTGGGGGCTGTGCGTCAATAAGACACACACAAAGCATAGCTTGGCCCCACCCCTTGCTCCATCCCCACTAGCTGTGATTGACAACAGCAAAAGCCAATGGCTCCCGCTGCTGTGTCTCAGCCAATTAAAAAGGAGAGCCGAAGCTCTTACGCACATCGCTGGATCGGAATCAGGCTCAGGTTTTGGGGGGGTGGGCTGTAGGGGAAAATGCATACTGAAGGTTTTTTACACTCATGCATAGAATGCATGAAGGTTAAAAACCTTCAGCCTTTACAGTCACATTAATAGACTGCCCAAGTGAAGAATATCCATGTATATGCTTAGGTTCAATTTCTTAGAGTGACAGTATATTGGGTTATATTTCCCATTATAAATTATAGCTTTATAGCCTTCCAGGACCCCGTCAGAGCAATATTATCTCATCCAGAAAAACAGTTGTGAAAATCCATGCTTTTCGTGCAGTTCACGGTCCATTCTTTGTGTACTCCTGTGGAGAATCATCTTAAAAGATAAGTATGGGATGGCTTTTTTCTCCCCAGATATAGTTACATAGGTGGATGCAGCATCACTCCGATGCTCCATCTGTCCCGTCGGCTCTAAGTGTGAAAACTCATGATGAGTTCTCACAGCCGCTGTGAGCAGAATGGTGACTGTCAGTCACCGCTCTCTGCTCAGCCCCCAGCACTCACTGGAGCACTGGGCTGCGGAGGGGAAGGGAGCAGCTGGCTCAGGCTCTCAGCGGATCACTGAGAGGCTGAGCCAGGTGCTGCTCCAGACTCTTTGAAGTCGAGAACTCTCCCCAGCCTGGACGTCAGCCCACTGTCAGCTTTGGCTGCAATTCTTTAATTACCTTGCAATTAGCAGTGACCTCTTTGCACAAGGTCATTGTGCAGCCCAGCAGAGTTGTGGTAGGGACCTCAGCGGGCCCACCCATTACAGACTACTTGCCGAAAATGCAAGGTGTGTGTGGATATTAGACCAGAAATCCTGGAAGAACCCTCAGCACACTGCTATATACCGTTTCCAGCAAATTTTGCAATTAAATTAAAAAAAAAAAAAAAATTGGGATTACTTGGACGCAGTTGGCCGGCTTAAACATGTAGTGCAATATCTGTGAACTAAAATCCCTATTTTGTATTGCAAAGTTTGCTGGACAGGATATATACCAGTGTGCAGAGGGTTCTTCGAGGATTTCTAGTGTTAACATGTGGCTACACCCTTAAACACCTGATAGATAAATGCATGTACAAACTATAGGGAGTTGAGCACAGGTATATCTTGTTTGTAGATATCAGACCAGTCACACTGCACAGAGAGAGCATCAGTCGCCATCTCTAGTACAGGAAGATCCTGCAAAGGCTGTTAGAATATACATGCCTCTTGTATTTGGACAATATTTGCACATCCTGAACTTCAGCTTTTAGAATTGTATGAGTCACAAACAGAAACAAATTTTAAGTGCTGCTGATGGCAAATTTAACAAACCAAGATCTGCTGAATGCACTCAATAAATCAAAGTGAAATGGAAGTTTACATTTGTATAGTAACTTTTTTTTTTATTTCCTTTACACTATTATAATCAAGAGGTAGTATTTTATAAACATGTACACAGAATGAAAATACCAGCATTGGTAAAATATTAAAAAGGGAAATTTATATACAGAGCACTGCAATTGCTTTACCTGCAGTAGGATCAAAACAGCACAATTTCATCTATAAAGCTTCTATAAAGATATACATAGGTAAAAAGGCAGGTCAATATAACAAATGTCCGTAAAATGATCATAAATGGTACAAATCGAGAACAAAAATGTTGCATTGTGGGAATTACACACAGGTTCTTCTATATATTAATTTTAACAATGTTTTTTTTTTTTAACAAACAGACATTCATAGGTATATACAAACACACAAATAGCAGATTTACTAACACAAAGCATGTTAGCTTGGCTACTAGAAAATACAAAATGAGCCACACACCCCTGAGATGTCAGTATGCAATGAGACTCACTAAAGGGCAGAACAGGGCTTACAGCTGGAGTGTTCCTCTAAAGTGCATTACAGTGACAGTATATTTTGTGCCAACTCTTGCTAGGTCTTTTTTTTAAGATGTATCCACATTAAACAAAGTTAACCAATCTTTCTTTAGTGTTGGACAGAGTAGAAAATGGTTCCTACTTTTGTCAGGTTTTCAATTATGTCAGAAGGGAAACCCTCCCTAATAGGGATATGCTTTGTTTGTGGTCACTAGGACAAAAAGGGACTAAAAATACTTCCAGTGGATGGAGGTACAGAGCAATAAGAGCCTCATTTTCCAGAGTGGAAAAAGGTTACTGCTCCCTGTGTCCCCAACCCAGAGATACTGTTCTTTGTCCCTGCCCCTTCCACCCCTCCATCCTGTGTGACCACAGATATAAGAATCCTTCCAAAAGGAATAAAAGGTGTGACTAATGTTCTACTTTGACACTTTTTTTTTTGTGGCGTAGGTAAGAGTTACACTTCAAAGTGCACCTGTGCCCCAACTATGGTCATTAAAGTATTTGCATCTTCTTGTGAAGCTGCAACTTTTTTTTTCCCCTATTGCAAACAGGAAGGCTTTTTGCAGAAGAGACATACTATGCTATGCATCATTCCTACCTTTTTGCAACCTTTTTTGTGTACAGGGAGCTGTGCATGTGCTGTTCAGTGTACAATCCCAGTATCTGCCGGAATGAACTCTGGGAGGAATTACATCATCCTTAGCCAGTCATTCAAGATGGCTAAAGGTGCAGAATTTGGAAACAGCCAGGTAGATGTTGGCAATGGTCAGGGAGCTGAAAGACCTTGCCATCATTGGAGCTGAAAGACGTTGCCATCATTGGAGCACAGGGGAATATATGAATATATTATACACATTATAACATGCAGTGAAGAAGCTTCAACTCAAGCCATCCCTGAGCTCTTTAGCTGCATGTACTGTAATGTAATTAATTCTCAAAGACCACAACAAAGACAGTTGGCTTAGAAACATTTGTTTTGTGGTTATATTAAAAAAAGCTGTCAGGCTGCCAGGATTCTATGACAATAGAAAGTAATGCATGGAAAGTGAAACAATACCTTTTTATGCCATGAAATGAATTCATGACAATTCTCACTGCCAATCATAGGCAAAGTTTCCAGTTAAGCCAATGCTTCTGTCACAAAACTACCCAGAACAAGCACTGTAAGTGATACAGATGTTTCTCTAGCTACATCTGTCAAGTCAGGCACCCAAAGCTAAACTGAGTTTTAAGTAAAGTTCTTCATTTTAGGAGCAACTGCATGACACACAAGAGAGAGTTCAAAATGAATTTCTTATTCACATTCCAGTATAATGCTCTGGAAAAGTAGCACTGCTACATGACACAGTATATTTATAATTCATAACATTTTCTGTTGGTCGAGTGGGTTGCTATTTTATGCACATATATACAGATAAGACAACACATGTAGAATTATAAATAAGAGATGTTAAAATCCTCATCTTAATACAATTTGGGCCGTTTAACATCTGTGGTGTCCCCAGAGTTTTTCCTCTTTCTAGAATTCCCTGTCACCTGAAGAGAGGAGACTGCATCAGGAAGGCAGTAATTGTTGGCAGGAGGTGGTGGGTCCTAAGAAGAAAGAAATATTTTATGCTGGAAAAATTTCTACAACCAAGGATGAGCCTTCAGTTGGCTGAAAATATTAATAGGACGGCTAGTTAGACAAACCTTCATGAGGTAATCCGCAATGTACTCTGGTTTTAAACATTTCACTCCTTGTGCTGCAGCCTCTGCTACACTGACTCTGGCGTCTTCTGGTTTCAGTTTACCAAAGTCTGCAAACAGATGTGTTGTCTCTTTAAACAGAGAGGAGGAGTGGCCAACGAAAACCTAAATGTACATACAGAATGGATAAAAAAAAAGTGTCAATTTTTTATGGGATTTCAAACAGATCCAAAATATAGGGCCTTTATTTACCAAATGGAAATGAACAAGAGCAAGGATAAATCACAGGATCACATGAGCATGCAAATATATGCATGCATAGTGAATGGGATCCCTCCTCCTAGTCAGCAAATTGTACACTGATATTCCATGGTAACAGCAATCTGAAACAATGCTGTTCACATGGAAAATTCTAATTTTTCTTTTTTTTTTTTCCTTAAACGTATTTTTAAAATAAAAAGCCCCAATGAATTATTGCATCAACATTTCACCTGTTACATTTTCTAGGCTCAAAGTGTCCCACTCTAATCAGCTAATTAAGCCATAACACCTGCAAAGGGTTCCTGAGCCTTTAAATGGTCTCTCAGTCTGGTTCAGTAGGAATCCCAATCATGGGAAAGACTGCTGACCTGACAGTTGTGCAGAAAACTATCATTGACACCCTCCATAAGGAGGGAAAGCCTCAAAAGGTAATTACAAAAGAAGTTGGATGTTCCCAAAGTGCTGTATCAAAGCACATTAATAGAAAGTTATGTGGAAGGGAAAAGTGTCAAGAAAAAGGTGCACAAGCAGCAGGGATGACCGCAGCCTGCAGAGGATTGTCAGGAAAAGGCCATTCAAAAGTGTTGGGGACTTTCACAAGGAGTGGACTGAGGCTGGAGTCAGTGCATCAAGAGCCACCACACACAGACGGATCCTGGACATTGGCTTCAAATGTTGTATTCCTCTTGTCAAGCCGCTTCTGAACAACAAACAATGTCAGAAGCGTCTTACCTGGGCTAAAGAAAAACAGACCTGGTTTGTTGCTCAGTGGTCCAAAGTCCTCTTTTCTGATGAGAGCAACTTTTGCATCTCATTTGGAAACCAAGAGACCAGAGTATGGAGGAAGAATGGAGAGGCACACACTGCAAGATGTTTGAAGTCCAGTGTGAAGTTTCCACAGTCTGTGTTGATTTGGGGAGCCATGTCATCTGCTGGTGTTGGTCCACTGTGCTTCATTAAGTCCAGGGTCAACGCAGCCGTCTACTAGGAGATTTTGGAGCACTTCATGCTTCCTTCCGCAGACGAGCTTTATGGGGAAGCCGACTTCATTTTCCAGTAGGACTTGGCACCTGCCCACACTGCCAAAAGCACCAAAACCTGGTTCAATGGCCGTGGGATTACTGTGCTTGATTGGCCAGCAAACTCGCCTGACCTGAACCCCATAGAGAATCTATGGGGCATTGCCAAGAGAAAGATGAGAGACATGAGACCGAACAATGCAGAAGAGCTGAAGGCCGCTATTGAAGCATCCTGCTCGAGATGGAGCGAAGTCGAGCTCGAGAGATGGAGCGAAGTCGAGCTCGAGAGAGAGATGGAGCGAAGTCGAGCTCGAGAGAGAGATGGAGCGAGAGATCGCGAGAGAGATGGAGCGAGAGATCGCGAGAGAGATGGAGCGAGAGATCGCGAGAGAAATGGAGCGAGAGATCGCGAGAGAGATGGAGCGAGAGATCGCGAGAGAGATGGAGCGAGAGATCGCGATAGAACGAGAAATCGCGATAGAACGAGAAATCAAGAGATCGAGATTGCGAGATAGAGAGATCGCGATAGAACGAGAGAGAGATCGATCGATTTGGGGTTTACATACATTTTAATGCAGACAAAATTTTAAAAAAATTATATATATATATATATATATATATATATATATTTATTTTATATTAGACATACCTTTGCTCCCCCTGATTGTAGTAGACGCTTGACTATTGCCCCCAATAGCAAGCTGCTTGCTATGGGGGAACTGGTACGTGCTCACTCCCAAGCCCAGCTCTATGCGTAAATAAGACACACAAAGCCGCGGCTCAGCCCCCTGTTCTCTCCTCATTGGCTCACTGGCTGTTATTGACAGCAGTGGGAGCCAATGGCTCCCACTGTTGTCTTAGCCAATGAGGAGAGGGAGTCCCAGGACAGCCTAGGCTCTTGCGCACAATACTGGATCGGGAGGGGGGCTTAGGTGAGTATTAAAGGGGCTGTTGGTGGAGCAGAACACAGGTTTTTTTTTGTTTTTTTTTTAACCTTCATACATACAATGCAAGAAGGAAAAATAACCTTCTGCATTTAATGCTTTCGAACAGGGATGTCCCAAATACTTGAACATGAGGGGAGGGCTACATCAGGAAAAAAAAAATCAGAAAAAAAAAAAAAAACCATTACCAAAAAAAACGTTAGGCAAGGGGTGGGGGTGGAGGACTGTGGAGAAGAATCTGCTCAGAATTCTCATCTAAACAGGTTCTAAGCAAGTTTCTGACCATTTTGGCAGAAGGACTACCTAAAGCATTTTTAGTAATGAGTTTCCTGTTCCTGATGGTAAATCTTTCATGTGCTGCCCTGAAAGACATTTTGGGAGATGTTAATCAATCTGGAAGTTTAACCACTTGCCTACCAGGCACTTGGTTCACTCCCTTCCTGCACGGTCATGCAACACTGTACCAACAGGAAATTTTTATTTTTTTCACACAAATAGTAGCTTTCTTTTGATGACATTAACTCGCCACGGGGGTTTTTATTTTTTGCACTATAAACCAAAAAAAAAAAAAACAAACAAAAAAAAATTCTTTGTATTATAAAATTTTGCACACAGGTAATTTTTCTCCTTCACTGATAGCACTGATGAGGTGGCACTGATATGCAGCAATGATGGGCACTGATAGGTGGTATTGATAGGCGGCACTAGAGACACTGACGGGTGGCATTGATGGGCACTGCTGGGGGCGGCACTGACAATCACTGCCCATCTTCCCTGTCACATATGCCGGTTATCGGCAGTACTTTCCTCATGCTGTGACAGTGTGAGGAAAGTGCTGGCAATAACCGGCAACTGTATTTACATTGTGATTTGCTGTGTTATTGGACACAGTTGATCATGTGATAAAAGGCCGCTGTGATTGGCCTTTTACCTAATCACGTGATCAGTTGTGTCCGTAGGACACAGAAATCACCGACAGTGTTAGATGCACGCCGCTGGGGGGCTCGTTCTGGGAGGGCGTCCATGGACGCCCTCCCAGAACTGGACAACCACACTGTAGCCATCTTTCAACTATAGCGCAGTTGGGAAGCGGTTAAAGATCAAATCACTTAGCGTCCAAGCTGCAAACATAACTTTCCATCCAAACAGTTAAGAACATAATTTGCATACAGAATTTAGTAGTTATTTATTTTTATTTCTTATTCATACAGGAAGGATCAGAGATGACTGGGGTTTATAGACAGATACCTTCAGGTATTTGGACACTGTCCAAAAAAAAACAAAACAAAAACGGAGGACCCACATATAATCCGTGCTAACAGCAGGACTCAGTTATTTGCTAGTGTCTTTAAGCATTGGATGTCTCCTCTCTACAATCAACTTTTGGCTGCGTTACGGCCATGGTGGTATCTTAGTTTCCAGATCAGTGCCCCTAGCTAAGTGCATAGGGAACCATACCTGGACCCCACAAGAGAAGATACAGGAATGGCCTGTATATAGTTTCTTTGAGCACTGGATCCGGTGTTAGGCTAGGTTCACATCTGTGTAGTTTCCCAGCAGCTGTGTTTGCACTAATTAGAGTGGGCTGCTGTATCTGTGGAAAAAGCAGAGAAAAGATCCCTGAACATTTTCTAAAATCATATCAAGAATGAAAGGCACTCCCGTGCCTCTGCTAAACAGCAGCATTTTTGCTGCAAGGTGGTGTGCAATTTGCACACAGTCCTGCACCAGCTTAGATGTGAGCCTAGTCTTAGATGCCCACCTTAGAATGTAATAGAGAGCATTGAGTTAGCCACAGGGTAAAATGCAGGTCCAGAGGTGAACCACTCCATTGTGACCAGAGTCACAAAAGACTCCCTCGCTAAAAAGGGAGTGTCCCCTTCCAAATCGGGCAAAGCCAGGGGTACAAAGGGTTAATCCCTTTCCACTGTGTGGAACTACATGTCAATGCCCTGGTTGCCTCCCCTTCTTCCCTAGTGCAGTCCCCCTCCACCCTTTCTCTTACTGTGGGCTTGAGTCCAGGCTGACTTCTGAGTCATGCCCCTGTCCCCTTTCAGCTGGATTTCTGTAGCTTTGGTGGCAGGGTGACTGAGTGGTTAAAGGCTATAGACAGCCCTTGGCAGTCTTACTGCCCTCTGAGGGCCTGAGCTGCTTGCATGTACTACATATGCACCGAATGTTGCAGCAGATATTTTGGGACACGTTCACAGACACACATTTCCTGTCCTGCCATCAACCCCTTAGTGCAATTTGGCATGCAGGTCCTGAGCCTGAGGTGGACTGATTCGAGGCAATGCCATATGCTCTGATTCACTCCAGGCCAGTACAATATTCCTGGCTATGGGGAAAAAATAAGTTTTTTCTCTGGATCGACCATCAGAGGCCAGATATTCAAATCACTCCAACACGGTGGGTGTACAATCTGGAGCTGCAGTAGGGGAATGCCTTTCTCCTGTTAAATTAAAGTGCTCACCACAGATGCCAGTCTGTTGGGCTGCTGAGTTGTACTCGGGACAGCAATGGTGCAGGAATCTTGGTAAGTGGAAGAATCCTGACAACCCATCAACATCTGGGAACTCGAAGATATTTGCCTCACCCTGCAGCAGTTGTCAAGAGGTCTTCGAAGAATGCCGGCGTGAGTTCTGTCAGACAAGGTCAGGGCTGTGGCTTACATCAATCACCAGGGCAGAACCAGGAATCGTGCAGCTCAGCCAGCAGACCTAATTCTGCAGTGGGCAGAACATCACGTTCCAGCCCTGTCAACCATACACATTTCAGGTGTGAAAAATTAGCAGGTGGGTTTTTTCAGTTGCCGGCAACTAGCCTCGGAGAAGTGGTCCCTACACACACACACAGGTGTTTCGGGACAATTTGTCAGAGATGGGGGGACACCAGATGAAGATCCACCAGCATCTCAATTCAGCCACAAGGTGGAAAGGTTTGTGTCTCGAACATAGGATCTTAGGGTCTTTGCAGTGGATGCTTCTATGACCCTGCGGTACCAGTTCTCCCTGATGTATGCTTTTACTCCTTTATAAATCCTTCCTTGCCTGTTCCACTGGATCAAGTCTGAACGTGTCCCAGTGATACTCGTGGCCCCAAACTGGCCAAGAAAAATGTAGTACATAGACAAGCTTCGGCTTCTGGCAGACATTCCGTGGCCTTTATCAGACAATCCGGATATACCATCTCAGGGTCGAAGGTTCCATTCTGGTTCTTGGGCTTCAACAGCCAAGCCATCAAAGCTACTGACCAAGGGTCTGGCTGCTTCAGTCATCCCTATGCTTACAGTATAAGTGCCAGAAAATCAACTTTGCCTAAGGTCCATCACTGCATCTGGAAGGTTTATTTTGCCTCAGATGAACAGCAGTACTTTGTGGGACGTATCTTGGATTTCCTTCAATTAGGCTTGGTCAGTGGTAGGTCCTAAGTACAATCAAGGGCCATATATCAGACTTGGCTACTCTCTTTTTTCAGAGGCTGTTGGCATCTCATTTACTGGTGAAGGCCCTTGTACAAGGCGTATCTCATATTGCCCCCCCCCCCCCCACCAATGATCTCCGGTTGTACTGTGGGATATGAACTTGGTGCTTTCAGCATCTTTTGAGCTCTGTCCTTGTCTGGTCTTGCTTACAAAGTCTGTTTTCTCGATTGTGGTCACCTCTGCTAGGAGAGTGTCAGAACTGTTTCACAAGGCTAAAGTCATTCTGCAACCCAAGATATTCTTTCTGCCTAAGGTGGTGTCTTAATTTAATTTCAAGTCAGGACCTAGTACTTCCAACCTTCTGACCTGTCCAAAACCCCCTTTACGAAGTGGCACTTCATTGTCTGCATGTGGTTTGAGCTACTAGAATCTACCTCACAGGCACAACCTCCATAAGGCTAGGTTCACACCTATGCAGGTTGCGCCTGACACATTTGTGATGCGTTTCGCGCTTTTTTTTTTTTTGCCCAATAGGAAAGTATGACATTTCTGTTCACGCAGTGCGACTTTGATGCTTCTTGAGTGCCAGAAAGTGCAGAATTGCATCAAAGTAGTGCAGGAACCTTTATGTGTCTAAAATCGCATGTTAGGTTTAGAGTTAGCAGTAATTGTTAGGATTAGCATTCTAACCCTAACCCACCCCAATTCCAGTCTTAACCCTAACATGCAACTTTGGCACTCAAGTAGCATCAAAGTTGCATCAGAGAGTGTAAAGTCACATCAAAAAATAAAAAGCAAAAACGCATCAAAAACACAAACTTTCATTTTTTGGTGCAGGTCCATTGAAGTCTATTAAAAGCAAAGCGCAAAAAGTCTCTTTCCAAAAACAGACCGGCTCAAAATGCACAGATGTGAACTAGATCCATAGGAAACCATGTTAAATGGACTGTAGTGCGTTTCTTCAAAACGCACTAAAAACTCATGTGTAAGCCAAGGATCAGACAACCTCGCTCCCTCTTGGTGCTTCCAGAAGGATTTGGCAGGGGGCTCCCTGCATCTTGTTAAAATGATATCATTCTTTTTTAGGTACATTTCAGCACAGTGCATACTTACAGAAAACGTCTAGTTTTTAAAAACATGTCTTTCCTCCTTTCTTAGTTAGCAACCCACTAGCTAATTATTATACAGGATTTATATAGCGCCAACAGTTTGCTCAGCGCTTTACAATATAAAGGGAGACAATACAGCAACAATACAGTTCAATACAAGAGGGATAGGAGGGCCCTGCTCCTTGGAGCTTACAATCTAAGAAAATGGAAACACACACAAACCAGAAAGTAGGGGCAGAAGTTGAGGGATCCATGCTTGCATGTTCCTGGCTGGGACTAAAGCCACATCCCTACTACCACTGAGTAAACTGAATGACCACTGCAGCAGCCCATAACTCCTTAGTGTCCATGGTACCCTCCTGTACAACCCGGACATTCAGGGAAGGAGTACAAATCGTCCCAGAGGTGGCAGCAAAGAATATGGACCATGGGCAAGCGCTTCGTTCAATGGAGCATGGAAATGCGCTGAGGCGGTTTTTACCTTAGAGCCTAAGTGCAGCCAAAATTACAAACAGATCTGTTTGCCCAAGCCATACTACAGGTTCTAGGAACAAATCAGGATCTATAAATGGAGCAGCTATACAAAAAGGGCAGTCAGAGTTGGGTTGGGAAGGATTTTCACTAACAGAAAAGAAATCAGCAAGGAACACATCCTGCTGACTGTAAGTTATGCCGTTGTGCAGATTTTTCCCATTTGTAATTTTGGCTGCACTTAGGTTTTAATGCTGAGAATGCATTTAGGTGAAAAAAACACCAAGCATTTAGAACACTTTAAAATAATAATTCATCCTAAATTCTACCTGGTTACACTTTGGTTGAAGGCTGGTTATATTTTAATGCACCAACTGCTGTATATGGCTTTATAAGATTTTTGCCTATTTAATTGCATTTTTGTTCCTGGGTTTAGATAAAATTCAAGTCACTTCATACATTAGAAGTTTCTACCAGTCTACAATGCAGCTCCCATACCTCCATTGTTTCACTCTCTTGATTTACCCTCTGCAGCTTCTTCCTCCATCGCATTGCTGCCTCTGCCAGCAACCTCTGCTGGGGGGTGATACTACTGATAGCATTTAGTATTGAGTTGCTTCCCCACTCATAATCATCTTCCTATAGGACAAAAAAATGTACTCATCAGTAACGAAAAGGAAATATGTTACGATACTACCATGAATCAGAATTTTTTTTTATAGAGAAATATTGTGAAGTGTTTACTATCTATTGTTTATGGGTATCAATGTAAAAAAATGATTTACCATTAACCTTTATGCCATTTAGTCTAACCATACTTTTGTCTTTCTAGAGCATGTATGATGTATTGTTATCTATTTTGTGAACTGTTAAGTAACTGCTACCTTCTTGCAATAGATGGTTACTCCTTTACAAACTATTTTTATTGGCGGTTTTAAAGGAAAAAGTTTCTTTGCAATGAAGAGTAATATTTCAAAATATGACATGGGGCATACTTTTTCATTTCAAAAACAAAAGAATAAAAACATATTAGTTAACCTCTTCACGCCAACGTGGTGCATATATGCTTATTCTTAGTGGGTGGGCTTTAGTGCATAGTGGCCACATATAACTAAAAAAAAAAAAAAAAAAAAAAAAAACCACCTCTGTACTGAGACCCCATGCCCTGCGCTCTCCCAGCACAGACAACGGCGGGGACCAGAAAGCTCCCGAAACATACTAGCAACCGGGGGTTTTTCGATGGTGTGACCACTGTGACAGACAAACACAGCGGTCACATGACCCAAATGCCCACCCACCACCTCCCAGCATTTAAAAGCTCTTAAAGGGCCGGGAGGTGGAAGCAGGACTGGGTTAAAATCAATTAGATTACCTTTATTACAATATTTGCTTAACTGCTTCCTGTCCACTGATGCTGGATTGGAAGGATGATATCTTGGTCATCATTTTGCACTGATCAAGAGATCATTTTTTTTAGGGCCGGCAATTCCCTTCAATGTAAATGTAATCCTAGCAGCTAAGAAGCCACTGGATTACTTTTACAGGCAGCGGGAGGGGGTCCCACCTCCCTCCCACAGTCACCTTTACCAGGCTCTCTCGTGCGATTGGAGAGCCCAGTAAGGATACGACCAGCGGCATCCAGTTCCTGGGACACAGAGAGATGAACTGATGTTTTTCCTCCCACTGTGTAATGTTGAAAACTGGAGGAAACAAGAATTTAGTCACTTCCAGTTTCAGTCTCATGTAAATAAGTCGTTACCTGCTTAAACAAGCATCTGATCAAACCGATCTTCATTTGATCAGATACTTTGGAGGCCAGAGAAAAGATCTGGGGTCAAATAAATGCTGTTCATCCCTTCTGATAGCATTTAAAGTGCCCCGTTACCCCGTGCTAATACACAAATGCGAATACAAGCGTAGGTCCCACACTCATATGTAAATGGAAATTGCACATGTGAGGTATCACCAAGTATGTCAAAGCAAGGGTACCAGAACTGGGGGCTGTGAAAGCAATCAGCAGCAGCGGAGGTGCCTGACTGCTTCCACCTGACAGGCAGGATTCTGCCTGTCAGTTTTTTATACACAATCCCAGTGGCTGCAGCCACTGGATTCTCTATAAAACCCCCTGCTGTCAGGTCTGTACTGCCTACAGACCTGGCAGCAAAAGGGTTAAAGTGTGATATGGTTGGTATTTATTTACTCAGTGCAACATCATTTTTTAGATTTTATCAAACAATTGGGTATTAGATTGTGTTTTTGTGCACTGAAATTCATCAAGTGTATTTTTTTTTTTTTTTTTTAGCAAAAAGATTTTTTTTTTTTGTAAGGAGAGGAATTTCAGAATTGGCTCGGACTGGAATTAAAGTGTATCTCAAGGCATAATGAAACAAAAAAAAAAACCCATACACAACAAAGTGGAACTTCACTCTCTCAATAAAAAAGGACTATTTTTAATCCTTATGCTGCTAGTAAATAGAAAGTATATCATATTTACGTGTTTTAAACTTTTTTTTTTTTTTTTTTTTTTTTTTTTTTTACACTTCTTCAGTTACTTCCTGGTTTCTATGCCTAGGCAAATTATGTCATACATCCCAGGAATCTTTAAGGGGGGGGGGGGGGGGGGGGGTCTTAGCTCTATGCCTGAGCTAAGGGCAGATGGATTCCAGGAAGTAAAATGATACATGAATCATCTGCCCTTACTCAAGATGACCACTGCCAGAAATGCCAAGGGGTACTTTTCAAAATGACTTCTCAGTAAATTAAAGCTAGAGACATGGATGGAAGGAGGAGTTTGTTTTGACTATTAACAATTAATTAAATGGCATTTTTGGTTTGTGGTGCTCAGATGCAGTGCAGTTCCACTTTAAGTACTCTGCAATACATGCACATTTCCCCATGTTTTGTCACTTTAAACAGCAAGTACTGAAAAATAACTGCTGAAGTACCAGAAAAATATGCTGCTCCTACCTTCTTGATTCCTGAACTGACAACACAGGGCCTTTTGAATTCTAAAATCCTAATTACTCCTGAGTAAAAGGAGGTGTTGGCTTAAAAGATTTCTTGCAAAACCAAAAAGTAATTGTTTGCACTTATTGATCAGATATAACAAAACCCTTTTCAATTACGTGTTGATCAGACAAAAAGGGGGCAAATAAAAGGTTAGGATTTACTCTAAAAAAGACCTTGCTCACGATTCAGGGCAAAGCCCACTCTTGACCCAATTATACTCACATTCATAGTGCTCCCCCACCAATTTTTTCTTTAGTTACAGTTGCTGCAAAATACCTGGTGCTTTCAGGTTATAGGGGAGCATTTGACCATTCATTATGCACTAATAGACCCAAACACAGGCTCCCTGAAAGCTGACACCTGGTATTTTGCTGCAACTGCAATGGAAGCAGAGACAGGGAAGAACTGAGGATGATAAGAACTGGTCAGGGGGATGGTTGGGCTTTAAAGAGACCCTTTCATTTTGGTGATGGAGTTGCTGTAACATTTTTGATACAAGAAAAATTTTACAGACTCCTTAAGATGAGAAAGTATTACAAGACAGACAGACCTGAATGAAACGTTTTGCAGCTCGGCAGGCCTCCAAATAAGATCTATGAAGCACCCACTTTCCTGCAGCCATTGAAGCAAGATATTTCTCATTGCGAAGAGGATGGCCAACAATAATGTGAGTACAGCTTGGATCAAAGCACTGCTTATCTATTACTATTCCACCTGAAAACAGAAAAATTGATCTCAGTTTTGTTTTTTGTTTGCAAAAATAAATAAAAATGAAGCCATAACAGGGCCAATGTTTGTGTATGAAGTTAGGAAAGATGAGAATAATAATAATAAAAAAAACACAACACCATCCAAATAGTGAAGCAGAGACCAGTTTACCTAGCTCCTCAATCAGCTGAGAGTAGTCAATTCTTTCCTGAGGATTTAAGGAAGAAAGCTGGAATCTCCTTTCTTTTTTATCATCCTCTTCCACCGCTAGCTTCTGACACTGTAAAATAATTAAACCAGTCATCAACTGTGTTCTAGTCAAACAAACAAAACCCAACCTGTTTGAGAGACATAAAAACTGGCTACAGAAATCAGAGGCCAGTTAGATGTGCTATCATGATACCACCACTGACTGATTTCTCTTCTCAAGTATTTTTCTATAAGCATGTATGCTAGGATTGCCCCAGAATACACATAATAACACACGTAGGACTGCATTTTCCTCCTTCTTGGTTATTGGCTTATCTAGCAAGTGTATCCAAAAAAGTGATTGGAGGAGTGATTTAGTTTTAGTCGACTAAATCTACAGTAGATTCAGTCAAATAAAAATCGAATGGGTTTAGTTTGATGCATTATTTAAGCATTTCCCTTGATATAAAATATTGGGCACCCTTGCATTTTTATCAGATAATGCATCTCTTCACCAAAAAGTTGTTGCAATTACAAACATTCAGGCATTCTCATGGTTTATTTCTTTTGTATGTATTGGTATGAAACAAAAAGCTAAATCTGAAAAATTCCACGCAAAACCCCAAAAGTGGACTGGACAAAATTAATGGCACCGTCAATATAAATATTTGGTAACACACCCCTTGGAAAAAATAACTGAAATCAATGGCTTCCTGTAACCAATGAGTTTCTTACACCTCTCTACTGGAATTATGGACCGTTCTTTTGCCAACTGCTCCAGGTTCTCTATGGGATTGAGATCTGGACCTCTGACGGAGACCCATCTTTCTGACACTGGGCCCTACAGTTGATTGTGTGAATAGATTTTTGTTATAGTTTTAGTCACCATAACTTAATTTGATTTAGTTTTAGTCACTGAAAAAATGTTATTGACTAAAACTATGATGAAAATGATAAGTTGACTAAATTAACACTGGTCACCACACACATTTGTACACACTCAATTAAAAAAAAACAAAAAAAAAAAAACAGTGTAATGGGCTCATATAGCATACCACACTGCCCCCTCACCACCCTGCAAAAGAGACATAAGCCCACAAGCTAAAACAAAGTGTAAACGTGCCTTCATGGATTTATTAGTCTGCAATACTTCCCTGTGCTCCAATGTCCACAAGTAGCCTTGCTTGTGCCAGAATCTTTTCCCTTGCTTCTTCCTGGTGCTGATCTTTGTGTCTTGATTGGCTGGTGTAGGATTATGCAACTTCTGTGCACACAAGCACCTCACCAGGAATGTAAACTCAGCTGCACATGTGCAGCTAAATGTACACTTAAAGACGACTGCAATTAGGCAGGCTTATTTTACTGCAGAAGAGTCAAAGCATGTATTTTCTGCAAATAAAGAGCCTGCCTGTTCACAATTTGTTAATTTAGACTTCTAGTTTTAATACTTGACTAGCATGTCAGTGAAATCACTAGATTCAGCACTGTGCTTTAATCTCTTGTTGTTGGGCACCAGAACACAATTATTCTTATGTATAGGAATGCCAAGTCTTCTGATCCAGACTTTGAAATACATAGGAAATCCTGGTGACAGAGATGTGAATGAGCTACACCAACCATCTGAAACATTAGACAATATCTATGTTCATCCATAAACATCTTCGTGCTGCAAAGTTCTGAGAGGCCTCCACTCATTCCACTGTTCTGTTGCAGTAAGTGCAGAAAGTCTTCTTGCCATGACATAAGGTGCAGGAATTCCACAAATATATTTACTGAGAAAAATGGTGAAGTGTTCAATACTTATTTTACCCCACTGTATATAGATTATTAATAATGATAAAAAGGTTAATTTATTCTTTTTTCACAGGAGCCTGCAGAGCATTGCACCTGCTATCAGTGGATCACAGGTGCAATTTCAGGTTTCTGCAGACACTGCCTACCTGTACACCTTCATATGAACTGTCAATTTCAGAGCTGCAAGAAGTGTGAATGGACTACAAGTGTGCTGCTCAGCATGCTCGGGGTAGCAGAAGGGACATGTTGTTTATTCATTCACAGGTTACTGTGAATAAATGACGTGGCTGAGCAACAAGTGTAACCACAAGGTGAACTTATCCTAAAACTTTATGACCATGCCATCTCATGTTCTAGATTATTGCTTGGCATACAATGTCCCTTCTTTCTGACAGCTGTGTCTGAAGGTATATTTTGTATGAAAAAGGTCAACTTAATTTTTACAGTCAGCCACAGATGTTTAACATTTTAAGGTAGTTGGCACCGTAATAGAAACAGTACCATTTCCTTGGGCTGAGGAGCTACAGGAGGATTGGCAAGTGGAAATGCAATGCTTGGAGCCTGTGGGGTGGGGATCAGAGGGTCCTCTTTAACTGGAGATTGGAGATCCAGTCCTTTTTTGGAGGCTTCTTTGGCTGAAGTATGCTCTAGCTCACATGCCTCTGTAATGCAAAAGAGAAAATAAAATTGACACCAATGATCATGATACAAAATCTGCTACACTATCTCCTAACTGCACTTACCCATTTCAGCTATCTCTGTATCTGTTAAAGATTCTTTAAACTGAGATTGGTCAGTAACATGACCTTTCTGAGGCAGCAAAGGTTCTGTGCACTGGGAGGGACTGTTAGGCCACTGTAAGTTACTGGCCAGCTTGGCCCTCTCTTCCCTTGCAGTTGGGTCATCCCAAATAATTTGCTCATTTTGTGATGGTTCTGTATTCAAATCTGTTAAGGTCTGGCGAGAATTTCTAAAAGAGAACAAGAAAATTATCAGAGTAAGTGAGGTGCTATCTGGGATTTAGGATGTGTTTGCTTTGAGTGTGGACATTCTTTATGGCAATAGCAGATACAGTGCATACTTCAATGTTAACCTAAATATTGCATGTTGTATTAATAATAGTTTAGTTGGATTAATACAACTTACCATATCTCTGGGTGCACTGGACCTACATTTAAACACATCTCTAAATACCCATATGACAACCACCATGAAAATGCAGTGAGCACAATCCTAAGGAGAATAAGTATTTAAAAAAAATATGGTTTTTACTAACTTAAGGCATACCTTCGTGCTTCCAATACTCTGCTCCTGCCATTACGTGTTGTACGAGCACCTTCGGGAGTACAAGGGGACGTATCAAACCCTGCTCTGCTCAATACTGATCTATTCCCTTGAGCTTTCACCATAGATGTTGCAGACATCAGCTCTTGTAACTGTCGCTGGAAATTTTCCCTCATCTCCAATGTCTGTGTGAGAACTAATCAGCAAGGGAAAGAAAAAAAATGTAATTAAGATCTCTTAAAAAAGATGAATACAAACTAAAATAAAAAAAAAAAAAAAAAGAAGAAAACTTGCAATGCTATTAAGGTTTACAATTATAGCTCTTCATACTGAAAAATTCTTATTTTGGAGTACAGTACAGGTCACAGGTCTGGTATTTATACATTATAGGCTTTATGCTGCTACCCTCAGGTGATTAGTAAAAACCTTTGCTAGGGCTGTCCCTAGAGCGTACCCATATAACCCCATCCACTCCATTAAGCTTTTTTTTTTTTTTTTAGCAAGAAATGTACTCTAAGATAATACATTTTGAGGCAAGTCAAAAATCATATTTCAATTGTACAGTACAAGACTAGTATTCAGAGACCAAAGACATACCCAAGCAATAAAACTGAGAGGTCGGAAACAACATAACAAACCAAACTTGCCAGCAGACCAAGGAGCGATCACAAAGTTTTAAAGAACCTGGACAAAATACTCTGATAACAGCCTGAAGCACCCTGCGTCAGTCGAGACCAGAACATCCACGTGATAGAACTGGGAAAATATGTTAACAGAGGACCAGGTGGTGGTCTTGAAAATCTGTGAGACAGATGTTTGATGCTGTAAATCCCAGGAGACAGCAACAGCTCTGGTGAAGTTGTCTCTGATGGGAAAGGAAGGAAACATTTACATAAAGGTGTAGGCCCTGGAACTGAGTGACCTTATCCACCTGGCAAAATGAGGAGCAGGAAGCAGTATGTCCTCTAGGAAAACCACTAGGTAGAACAAAAAGGGGCTCCATCTAGGGAATGGAGGCTGTAGCAGCCAAGTAGACTGTAGGCCCTAACCACATCCATAGAATATAAGGCAATTGCCTTATCAGGTTCTGGGGCAGTGCAGTAGGGACAGAGGACAGAGGGAAGGGAGGGTGATGTCCCCATGGAGGTGGAAATTAGAGAACACCTTAGATTAAAAAGAAGGTTTTGGTTTCAAAACTACCTTGTCCTTGAGCAAACCAAGAAATAGACCTTTACAGGATAGTGCTGTTAACTCTGTCTAAGACGTGATGGCAACCAAGAAAATAACCTTTAAAGGCGAGTTCTTCCAACAGAATGTCTCTAAGTTGGTTCAAAGGGGAAGGGGGGGGGGGGGGGGGGTCTCTGAAGGGCAACGAGAACCAGGTTGAGATCCCAAGGTGACGCAGGAGGTAATAGGATAATGATATGAGCAACGCTAACGCCCTGTAGGAAGGTTCTGATCATGGATTGCAAGGCAAGGGGTTTCAAAAAAAAAAAAAAAAAAAAAAAGGTGCATCAAGCCGAAACCTGTCCCTAGAGGGTCCTAAGGGCCAGACACTGGTCAAAACCAGACAGAAGAGAGGTCATAATTTGAGTTGAGTGATAGAGTACTGGAGTAGCGTTAAACATTGTGCCTCGCACCAGGCAACATAAGCTTCCCACGTGCACGGTAAATCTTGTGGGAATCAGATTTCCTTGCTCTGAGTAAAGTGGGAATTACCAAATCAGAGTTACCCCTCTCCTTTAGTACTTTTGTTTTAACAGCCATGCCTTAAAAGCCAGCGACTCAGAAGCAGAATGGAACATGGGGTCTTGAGCCAGTAATTCTAGTCTGCTTGGAAAAGGACAAAACTCATTATTATTATACAGGATTTATATCGCACAGCGCTTTACAATCTAGATGAAGACAGTACAGTTACAACACAATAAAATACAAGAGGAAGATTTACTGCTACTCAGGGGCTCTGGGCTTCAGCAAAATGGCAGCCTCTGGCAAGAACAACAATGCTGACGGAAATTTACAGCACACACTAATTTTGGTAGCATAATTTATTAAAGTACAATGTATGTTTCTTTCTAAAGAACATTATTTTTTTTAATCAAGTTGTTATGCATAAAGTCCTGCATTAACAGTCAGGAAGCTGTAAACTCCATCCAAGCCTGTAAGCCTAGCATTTGTAATTACAACATTTCAATTCCTGTGAAGGAATGACTTTCCAGTGCCAAGGCAGGATTGAGGATACACCATGTCAAGGAGACCTTGACTTGACAGAAGCATTGGACTTTAGGAACGCTATTTTTACCTAAGGGAGGAAGATTCTGTCTTGGGCTGTGTCTAGGATTAGACCCAAGTACTCAATATGGTGTGAGGGCTGGATGGCAGAATTTGGAAAGTTGGGATTATCCAGCCACGCTGAATGGTCCTTTGGACTTTGACTGAGGAGTCCTTCAGCAGGAGCTCATCTAAGTAACGCATGACATAAACGCCCTAGGTTTGTAGATCCAGAAGCGAGGTGAGCACTTTTGTGACTACTCGGGATGCAGAGAGCCCAAATGACAGTGCCACAAACTAAGTGCTGGTCTCCCACATCAAAAAGGAGGAAGCATTGCTGTGATGGGAAAATAAGACTATGGAGATAGGATTTTATATGTCTGCTGATGCCACAAATTTGTCTTGTCTGAGGGAAGTAATCGCAAATCTCATAAAATTACATCTGGACTTCTGGTACACAAAAACTAAGTCCAGTATTGGATGGATGCCCCCCTGTTGGATTTGGACTATAAATAGGTTTGAATAAACATCTTGAATGCATTGCTCCAAAGGAACCAACTCCTTGTGCCTGAAGTTGGTACAAAATGATCATCAAATCTGTGGTCTGAAGCTGGCAAATTGTAAGGTAAAAAGTGAAGAAGGTGTAGGGACTGTAAATAGGCTGTACCCCTAAGAAATTCAGATTGGGACATCTCGAATCCAGGCTAGCGCAAAGGCCAACAGATGTCCCTCCACCCTAAGGAATGTGGGAAACCATTCTATGTGAAGAGGGGTTCTGAATGCTTGGTAGGCCAGGGCTTGCAACAAAAGAATGTGTTAAGGCTTGCTTTAGAGGCAGTGATCATTTTGATGTCAAATTTCCAGTTAGGTTTAGTTATATAGTCTTTTGACTAAAATGCCATTTTAGTTTTAATTGCATTTTAATCATCTGAATTATTTTAGTTGTATTTTCGTCGACTAAACTCTCCAGTACATTTTAGTCGACTAAAATCTAATAGGTTTAGTTAACCGCTTCCAGACCGCCCTATAGCAGAACTACTGCTACAGGGCGGCAGGGCTGCACAAAATCATGTATATACAGGTTTTTGCATTTCCGGATAGGGGGTGAGCCGCCATTGGCGGCTACAGCTGTCGATCACCGGGTCCTGGACAGAGATTCCCTGCCGGCACACAGCGATCGCCAAGGAACACTGTATGTAAACAACACAGATCTCCCTCTGTCAGCACCAGCATGCTGCTTTTTATAGCTCTGTATAGCATAAAAATAAAAAGAAACATGCTTACATAGTAAAAAAAAACACACAACACACACAGTAAAACAGCACACAGTTCACCCTTTGATTGCCCCAGATGATAACCCCTTCCTGCCCGGTGTCATTAGTACAGTGACAGTGCTTTTATCACTGATCACTGTATTAAGAGTTACTGGGCATGTCAGTGACAGTCAGTTCCCCACGTGTCAGAATGCCCGCCGCAGTCCTGCTATAAGTCACTAATCACCACCATTACTAGTATAAAAAAAAAAAAAGAATAAAAAAATTCCAGTATATATACCACCATTTGTAGACGCTATAACTTTCACGTAAACCAATTAATTTACACATATTGGGATTTTTGTTTTTAGCAAAGACATGTAGCAGAATACATTGTGGCCTAAATGTATGACGACCTTTGATTTAACATTTTTTACTGGACATCTTTTATAGCAAAAAGTCAAAAATATTGGGGGTTTTTTTTTTAAAAATTGTCGGTCTTAAATTTTTGTCTATAGGGCAAAAAATAAAAACCGCAGAGGCGATCAAATACCACCAAAAGAAAGTTCCTTTTGTGGGACAAAGGACAAATTTCATTTGGGTGCAGCGTTGCATGACCACCCAATTGTCAGTTAAAGTAACGGAGCACTGTATCACAAAAAAAAAAAAAAAGCCAGGTCAGGAAGGGGGGTAAATACTCTGGAGGACAAGTGGTTAAATTGCAATGCATTATTTTATTAGCATTTCCAAACTCATTATATAATCCTGGAGTAAAAATCTAACATATTATTTATGGTATATGGTTTGAACAAACTACACAGATTTAGACGTTATTTAACATCATAAGTAAAACCAAGTTTCATCACAAGAAACAATCCTCTCTAACATTTTCGTTCATTGAAAAAAATTGGAATTGATTTTCGGCAGTTTTCGTCAATTGACAATAACTTGAATTGATTTTTGTTTCGTTTTTGTCACTGAAAACATGCCGCTGATGAAAATGACAACATTTTTTTTATAGAAGAAATTAAAGACAGTTTAGAGGTTGTCATCTGGAAAGAACTCAAGTAGAGGGAGAAGCTCTAGGAGTAAGAGATCAAACTTTAAGCCCCAAACTCCTGCACATGTGCATAGAGATAAAAACAATTCTTGAGACTTGTCAAATGACATCTCAAGAGAAGAAGCCACTATACTCATACCCCAGGAACGGACCAAGTTTCTGTAGGTGTGTCCCTGTAGAAAAAGGCCATGGGAATGCAGCAAACATCCTGCATACATTCTCGGCGGAATAGTTGGGTGGAAACACATCATCTGTGAAATGTGATACATGCTTGCAGAAAATTGTCTGAGAGAACTTTATTTATTTCAGGTAATTATATAGCGCCGTCAATTTACGCAGCGCTTTACATATATATTTGTACATTCACATCAGTCCCTAAACCCTCAAGGGGGCGTACAATCTAATAGTCCCTAACTTACATTCATACAGACACATACTACAGGGCCAATTTAGACAGGATCTAATTAAACCTACCAGCATGTCTTTGGAGTGTGGGAGGAAACTGGAGTACTCGGAGGACACCCACACAGGCACAGGGAGAACATGCCCTGCAACTCCAGGCAGGAGGTGTTGTGGCTGGGATTCGAACCAACGACCCTTGTACTACCAGGTGGAAGTGCTAACCATTTAGAAAACATGACACAGTTATCTCAACATCCACTGACACAAAGTCCAAATAAACACTGTTCATAGTGTGCAATGCGCTGCGGATATAGTGTTGTATAAAGCCAGGAACAGGGCTTTATACACAAGGAAACCTCATCTTACCTTATTCACGACACAGTCAACTTGTTATAGAAGCCCAAGCTTTGCCAGCTAAACAGTGGGCAAGCCCACGAAGGGGTCTCCAGAAAAAATGGCAACCACAGAAATGGACCACAAGCGTGGACCTGTATAGCAAACTGCAGCTAACTTCACATATTGCACTTTGTGCCAAGACATGAGCAGAATACATGTCTAATACAGGATCCATTGCCTGATGCATTAGAGGGTGACTCCACAGATTGTGGTGCCTGGGTATGGTCCCTGAGGTACACCCCCGATCAAATCTCGAAACTGCTTGCTAGGTAGCACAAGGCAAAAACCATTTGTCAGTCGTTGCATGACCACCCAGGTTTAAAAAAATGTAGATGGAGGACAAGTGGTTAAAAAAAAAAAAAAAAACTTTAGTGGTTCTAAAAGAAAAATAAACAAACTATATATTATTTTCTCAAGATGGTCACCTAAAGAAACACGAGCAAAAAACTGTAGCCTCATGGAGTGGGTTTTCGGGTTTTCGTAATGGTAGGGGTATTGCTTTAGGAGCAGCCCTAGCACAAAATTTTGCCAGTGAAAATCACTTGAAGGTGGCAGTAATAACCCCTGGTCTAGTGAATTACTAGTTTGTGCCCTCTACTAGAACTTAAGTATAATTTTGCTAAAACATATTTTCTGTCTAAAGCGATCACACGAGAGATAAAGCTTTAAAGCCAAAGCAGTGAATTAAAAACAATTGCTTGGGAAATGACATTCAGAAAGAAGCATCATTGTCTACTACTGTTCTGTAGGTCCCCACACAACTTTGCAGGAAGATTGCATGCATTCGTATGGTAAAACTATAAAGTACAGTGTTGAAAAATTGAAAACTTTATTATTGTAATTTATAGCTGTTTGTGTGCTTTACATATAAGGGCATTCTTGCACCCTCACAGATGCCAATCTAGGGTCCTGCACATTCAACAGACACATACTAGGGCATATTTAGACAGGATCATTATGGGAGCAAGTCTTTGGAGGTGCTGCATACAGCTGCCCACAGACATAAATGGCTGTGTGCAGCTGTACTTGGGTATACACCGGAATTTACATTACATGGGCACCTGTGTACAAGAGCTCTAAATCCACAACTCAAACTCCTGTGTCTGTTCAGCTATAAGAAGTATTTAAGTGGTTAATGGTTTTACCTACTAGATTATTACTTTACTAAAGCAAAGTACTTTTTAATACCCAAATTACCTCCTTCTCCTCCTAAAATAAACATAAGACATTTTGTTATATAATCATTTAAATTAAACCATTTACCTCCTTTAGCATCACTTGAAGCATTCTGAGCTTTGTCAGCGTTGTGTGTCGTATTAGGGGAAATTTTAGCCATTTCAGGTTGCTCATCATCTTGTTCACCATTAATCTGTAATATATATATTTAAATTGTGAGTGTGTTACATTAAACAGCTGCAAATCACTACGTTTACAAGTTTCACAGGGTCAAAATTGAAAAATAAACTTTGGTAAATAACAGATATACCTCATCTCTTAAGGTTGTAGAACGTTTATTGCTGCTGTGGGGTACATCTAAAACAGTGCTGATATCCAAGCTCATTTTTGGATTGTAGGTGTGAGGATAGAGAGATTCAGGAACACGCCTCTGTTCTTCTGCACACTGTATTCATGAAAAACCAAACAGTAGATGTGTGTGAGGAAAAAAAAAAAAAAAAACGTAAACGGGGTCATTAGCTGGCATAAACAAATAACAATCACAAATTTTAACTCAGCACTGATGTGAAGGGTCATCACATAGTTTAGTGATCTATGAAGATAAATGTTGAAAAGACCTCTAGATATACAGTGGGGCAAAAAAGTATTTAGTCAGCCACCAATTGTGCAAGTTCTCCCACTTAAAAAGATGAGAGAGGCCTGTAATTGGCATCATAGGTAGACCTAAACTATGAGAGACAAAATGAGAAAACAAATCCAGACAATCACATTGGCTGATTTGGAAAGAATTTATTTGCAAATTATGGTGGAAAATAAGTATTTAGTCAATATCAAAAGTTCATCTCAATACTTTGTTATATATTCTTTGTTGGCAATGACAGAGGTCAAACGTTTCCTGTAAGTCTTCTTCACAAGGTTGGCACACACTGTTGCTGGTATGTTGGCTCATTCCTACATGCAGATCTCCTCTAGAGCAGTGATGTTTTGGGGCTGTCGCTGGGCAACACGGACTTTCAACTCCCTCCAAAGGTTTTCTATGGGGCTGAGATCTGGAGACTGGCAAGGCCACCCCAGGACCTTGAAATGCTTCTTACGAAGCCACTCCTTCGTTGCCCGGGCGGTATGTTTGGGATCATTGTCATGTTGGAAGACCCAGCCACATTTCATCTTCAATGCCCTTGCTGATGGAAGGAGGTTTGCACTCAAAATCTCAGGATACATGGCCCCATTCATTCTGTCCTGTACATGGATCAGTCGTCCTGGTCCCTTTGCGGAGAAACAGCCCCAAAGCATGATGTTGCCACCCCCATGCTTCACAGTAGGTATGGTGTTCTTTAGATGCAACTCAGCATTCGCTCTCCTCCAAACACGACGAGTTGTGTTTCTACCAAACAGTTCTATTTTGGTTTCATCTGACCATATGACATTCTCCCAATCCTCTTCTGGATCATCCAAATGCTCTCTAGCAAACTTCAGCCGGGCCTGGGCATGTACTGGCTTAAGCAGGAGCACTGAGTGAGTCCCTGGCGGCGTAGTGTGTTACTGATGGTAGCCTTTGTTACGTTGGTCCCGGCTCTCTGCAGGTCATTCACTAGGTCCCCCGTGTGGTCTTGGGATTTTTGCTCACCGTTCTTGTGATCATTTTGACCCCACGGGGTGAGATCTTGCGTGGAGCCCCAGATCGAGGGAGATTATCAGTGGTCTTGTAAGTCTTCCATTTTCTAATTATTGCTCCCACAGTTGATTTGTTCACACCAAGCTGCTTGCCTATTGCAGATTCAGTCTTCCCAGCCTGGTGCAGGTGTACAATTTTGTTTCTGGTGTCCTTCGACAGCTCTTTGGTCTTCACCATAGTGGAGTTTGGAGTGTGACTGTTTGAGGTTGTGGACAGGTGTCTTTTATACTGATAACAAGTTCAAACAGGTGCCATTGATACAGGTAATGAGTGCAGGACAGAGGAGCCTCTTAAAGAAGAAGTTACAGGTCTGTGAGAACCAGAAATCTTGCTTGTTTGTAGGTGACCAAATACTTATTTTCCACCATAATTTGCAAATAAATTCTTTCCAAATCAGCCAATGTGATTGTCTGGATTTTTTTCTCATTTTGTCTCTCATAGTTTAGGTCTACCTATGATGCCAATTACAAGCCTCTCTCATCTTTTTAAGTGGGAGAACTTGCACAATTGGTGGCTGACTAAATACTTTTTTGCCCCACTGTAAATCTAACAGTTGATATGTTAAGTTGGGGAGTTAGGCATTGCCATTTAATTTTCCCATCATTGCACAGTTTAACCTACTATAAACATATTTTATGTTCCATGTGATCTTTTAATTAGCATACACTACTAGTGCTAAAAGACCTTTCAAAACTAGCAAAAAAATAATAACAGTACCTTTATTGTGTACCTAATTCTGAAATACCATGCAATGTATTGCTCGTTCTGTTTACAAATATAGCAAATAAGTCAAAAAGTATAAAACTATCCTATAGAACAGGAGTGGGCAAAAAGTCTCATCATGCCTCTGGGAGACATGCTTGTGGCTGTCAGTCTTAAAATGCTTCATAGGACATCTAGTTCCACAACAGCTGGGAGGGCCGTAGTTTGCCCAGCCCTGCTATAGGGTTATATATTTGATAATTGGCAGGATTTTCAAATTTTAAAAGTAAACCTGTCAGTATCACAACTATATCAAAAAAGCTTTAAAAATGCAGCCACCAAGTGATGCCCAAACATGCTTTTGAAGGTCATTTGATTTTTATCATTTGTTAATGTGGCGAGCAGAATTTGCTCTTCTACTTGCCAGTAAGGCTTCCTGTCATGATAAGGAGAATGTGGGGTACTCTTGATCTTGTGATGTGTCAAGATCAAGATGATTTATATGCAAGATTTAGATTTCGTCAGAGGATACATACATACATGTTTAGGCACTGCTAGGTGACTGCATTATGCCAATATAGAGCTAAAGATTTATATAATCAAGGTGCCATGTACTTGACTGATATTTATTTTTAAATGTTTTACAAGGAAGCCAGAGTGCCGTATGCACAATGGATTTCACTAACATTTATAGTTATTCACAAGCTGTAATAAAGACATGAGACAGGTCAATGGGATTTTTGACTTGCCTGTAAAAAGATTACTGGGTTATAGGCAAATACCTTCAGGTAATTAGACACATGCAAAAAAAAGAAAAAAAAGGTTTTGAGGACTCCCATATAATGCCTTCTGCTCCCAGCAATTTTAACTCAATTCAAACAAAATCACAGAGGAGAGGTTAGCCTTTGTCCTGTACTATACTCAAGAAAGGGATTTTACAGACAAGTCAAAAATCCCATTTTCTTAATCCTACAGTAAAGATTCAGGGACTGAGACTTTCCCCAGCAACACAAATGAGGGGAGGGTAACATGAAAAAAGAAGAAGAAAAAAAAAAAAAAAAAGCCAACATAACCCCTACAAAAAAAAAAAAAAAAAAAAAAAAAAAAACAGTGGATCAGAACCTATTCAAATAGCAGCCTCTGAAGCACAATGCAACAATAGTCAAGGCCTGAATATTCACTCAGGAAAATTTGGTAAACTTGTGAACTGAAGACCAAATCTGCAAAATAGAAGCTGAAAATGCTGAAGAACCCAGGATGTACTAAAAGCTCTAGTAGAATGAGCCTTCAGTAGGAAAGGATTCTTATCCTTTAACTATGTCGGTCCAAACAATCTGACAAATTGACTTGACAATGGTGGAGAGGGATGCAAGGAACCCCCTGCAATAACCTTTCAGGAGCACAAACAGTATCCGAACATCTCATTGAAGCTGGGGCAGCGAGATGTCTACTCTAAAACTCTAACCACATCCTGAGACTGGAGCGACACCTCCCAGAGGTGTTTTGGGGAAAAGACAAAACGGTGTCATGCATTCGAACATCTGGTGGTACCTGCCTATAACCCAGTAGTCTATGAAACTGCCTGTGTTCTGTAGCATCAAGAAATATTGCACTGCTAAACCATGGCAATGTGATAGACATCACTGTCATAAAGAAAAAAAAATTAATCCACAACAATCACATATACATACAGCCAGGAGCCAGTGCTCAGATACAATGTGAATGCCATTTCTTTCTTTTACAGACTTGAACTCTCGATTGGTGTCATTTTGTCTTCCTTGATAAATGAAGTGTGTTACGGTTTCATCATAGCACCATCTGGTTAAACAAAATACTCGTCAATTTAAAAAAAAAACAAAAAACTGTAAATAAAAATTAAAGTTGAACACCAAGTAATCCACCACACTAGTTTCTCTGTTAACGTTAGGAAAAAATTGGTGCCCCCTGCATGACCACAACATGCTACCAACACAATGAAGAGGCTGTATCACATAAATGAATCAAACTTCGTGTGTCAGATCAAAATGTCTGCTGTCAGATTAAAATATCCCAACAGCAGAGATGGGGGGGGTGTAGGATTCCTCTATCCACCTCATTTGTGTGAATGGAGTAATCGGTTTGATTTTTCAGCCAGGGGGCTGAGCAAAAATAAATCGAGTATGGTCAGCCTGTGTATGGTCAGCCTATGGGATGAGAGAAGACCGATACAAAGAAAATTAAAAGGTACTTATTCTAGTATGTAAAAATTTTAAAGGAATACTGTACTAAACTGTTTTTTCACCTTTTCCATTTAAAACTTTGTATTGTACTTTACAAACAAATATTATGCTACACTTAATTTAATAATGTCATTTCATTTGTTTGCAGGGAAAAAAAAAAAAAAAGAAGAAAGAAGGAAGGCATGCACTCAATCACTGCCTCAATCATACAATACAGATATAAAAGATAAACAATCTCTCTCCATGCTGTACCTGTACTCGGCTCCAAGTGAAGCAGCTACTGCGTTCAGTTCCCCTTGCTTTTTACTAAGCTTCTTGCTCACACAAATAATGACATCGCTGAGAATTTTGGGTTCCTCATTTGTCTGCAAACAAATAAAAAATGGACAATCATCAAATACATTAAATAAATTAAATTCAATTAAAATGTGTGTTTTCTATTTGACTGAAAAGAGAAATTACTACAAAGAACACATAAATACATAATGTAGTTAATCAGGATTAATAGCCTAACTAGCCAGGAGACATATCATGCTTACTTCCCTTCAACATCGGAAGATGTACAGCTGTGCCATCAGCACAGAACTGGTGGAAACCAATGGGATCTAGGGATACCCATCTACTGTTCACAGAAGTCTGGCCAGCAGCAGTCTTCCTGAAAGAAATGTGGCCAAAAGCCATACCTCGAATATGGAAAAAAGCTAAGCGACTCAACTATGCATGAAAACATAAGTACTGGAGGTAAAGAGAACCACCAGCAGGGGCTCTGGACTGATGAGTCAAAATTTGAAATATTTGGCTGCAGAAGGAGGCAGTTTTTCACCGAAGGGCTGGACAGTGGTACAATCAGGAGTGTCCTGCAGGTAACAATGAAGCATCGTGGAGGCTCCTTGCAAGTTTGGGGCTGCATTTCTACAAATGGAGTTGGAGATTTGGATCGATGGTATCCTCAACACAGAGAAATATAGGCAGATAACTATCCATCATGTCATCCATTGGGGAAGTGTGTGAATGGCCCCAAATGTATTCTGCAGCAAGCCAACAACCCCAAACATGCAGCCAATGTCGTTAAAGAACTATCTTCAGTGCAAAGAAAAACAAGGAGTCCTGGAAGTGATGATTTGGCCCCCCCCAGAGTCCTGATCCCACCATCGAGTCTGTCTGGGATTACATGAAGAGACAGAAGCATTACCATCCACAGATCTGTGGTTAGTTCTCCAAGATGTTTGGAACAACCTATCCGCTGAGTTCCTTCAAAAACTGTGTGCAAGAGTACCCAAAAGAACTGTTGCAGTTTTGAAGGCAAAGAGTGATCACACCAATATTTAAAAAGGGGTCAAAATCTTTACCAAGTAATTATAGACCTGAAGATATACTGGAGAGTTTAACCACTTGCTCTTCAGAGGACGTGTTCAATACTTATTTTACCCGCCGTATGTATGTAAAAATATATAACGGTGAACTTGGCCTTTAACCACTTGCCCTTCTAAGGATTTACCCCCCTTCCTGACCAGGTCATTTTTTGCGTTACGGCGCTGCGTTGCTTTAACTGAAAATTGCACAGTCATGCAATTGGCGGTATAGATACGGGGATTTTTTTTTTTTTCCTACTAGTAATGGCGCCGATCAGCGACTTTTTAGCGGGACTGCGGCGGGTATTCTGACACTGGGAGGGAACTAACTTGGTGTCACGGACATCCCCAGTGACACCAATACAGTGATCATGGCTAAAAAAATAGCACTGACACTGGGCAGGAAGGGATTAATGTGAGGGGCGATCAAAGGGTTAACTGTGTGTAGGGAGTGTTTTACTAGGGGGTGGGTGCTTCACTGTAAGCACACTGTACAGAGCCATCCCGAGCAGTGTGCCCGAGCTGACAGGGAGGAAGACTGTTTCGCACGCCCCCTACCTCAGAAATGCAAAATCACATATATACGTGATTTTGCGCATCCGTGCTGCCGTGTAGCAGTATATCTGCTATATGGTGGCACGGGTAAGCGGTTAATAAAAGACCGCATAGATGAGTTCTTGCTGGAAAAAAATATTTAACCAACAGACAACATGGAACAAATCTGATTTCTTTTCATGAGGAGATGAGCAAAACCTTGGACAGGAGGGGTGGTGGTGGATTTTGCAAAAGCGTTTGCATCATACATACTGGGGGGTGGGTACAACTGGGGGAATCAATGGAGAAGGATCTGGGAGTTTCTGGTAGATCACAAGCTTAATAATGGCATGCAATGCCAAGCTGCGGTTTCTAAAGCGAGCAAAATCCTCTCTTGTATTAAAAGAGGTATAGACTCCAGAGAGAGAGATATCATATTACCCCTGTACAAATCATTAGTAATACCTCATCTGGAATATGCAGTTCAGTTTTGGGCACCAATTCACAAAACGAACATTGGGGAACTGGAGAAAGTACAGAGAAGGGCAACCAAACTGATAAGAGGCATGGAGGAGCTCAGCAATGAGGAAAGATTAGAGGAACTGAATTTATTCTTTCTTGAGAAGAGGAAATTAAGGGGGGATATGATCAACATGTATAAATACATCAGTGGTTCATATAGTGAACTCGGTGTAGAGCTATTTACCCTGAAGTCATCACAGAGGGGGCACTCTTTACGTCTGGAGGAAGAGAAATTTAATCTCCAAATACGGAAAGGTTTCTTCACAGTGAGAGCTGTGAAAATGTGGAATAGACTCCCTCAAGAGTTAGTTCTGGCAAGCTCAGTGGATTGCTTTAAAAAAGGCCTGAATTCTCTCTTAGATACAAAGAATATAACTGAATACTAACATGTATAGGTAAAGTTGATCCAGGGAATATCAGATTGCCTCTAGGGCGGGTGTCGGCAACCCGCGGCTCTCGGAGCCGCATGCGGCTCTTTTTCACCTTTCCTGCGGCTCCGGAGCACACTGCCCACCAGGTGACAGGCAATAGGGTCAGCAAGCCGCGGCTCTTTTAATGCAGCTCTTCTGTGTGCCGGGCGCCCGCTGGCAAACATTGGCTGTCAGGATGTAGGCGGGGCAGCCCGACGAACCCCTCTCCTCTCACAGTCCGCCCTGAAGACCAGAACGGCGCGGGAACCCAGCGAGAGGAACGCGCGGAGCAAAGGTAAGTGAATTCACACAATATGGGGAATGAATTACTATAGGGGGGATGAATTACTATATGGGGGATGAATTACTATAGGGGGGATGAATTACTATATGGGGGATGAATTACTATATGGGGGATGAATTACTACGGGGGATGAATTACTATATGGGGGATGAATTACTATGGGGGGATGAATTACTATGGGGGATGAATTACTATGGGGGATGAATTACTATATGGGGGATGAATTACTATATGGGGGGATGTATTTTCAGTTTTAAAAATGTTTCTCTCAAAATAAAATTTCATCGTGGTTTTGGCGAGATTTGGCTCAGTCGAAAAAAAAGGTTGCCCACCACTGACCTAAGGCTATGATTGTGATTATGACGATACACTATGGCCCTGATTAACCCTTTGCTTACTGGGCCCTTAAACCCCCTTCATGACCAGAGCGTTTTTTGCAATATATGCAGTGTCGGATTTGTTTTAAATGTTGCAATGGTTTTGCGGCTCCCAGTCTTTTTTTCCCTCTCGGAAACGGGTCCAAGTGGCTCTTTATGTCTTAAAGGTTGCAGACCCCTGCTCTAGGGGGATCAGGAAGGAATTTTTCTTTCCCTGCAGGAGCAAATTGGATCATACTTTGCTGGGGTTTTTTTTTTTTTGCCTTCGTCTGGGTCAACTGTGGGTATAGGATTATAACTTTTTTTTTTTTTATTGAACTGGATGGACTTTTGTCTTTTTTCAGCCAGACTATGTAACCAAACATAGTTTTTTATTTATCTTGTATTCATTTACTTTCCATTGTGTTAAAATGATAAAAGTAAACTATTAACACTTCTATTTCTGAAAGCATTTTTAACTTGCATACTGTTTTCACACCTGCCTAAAACTATTGCACAGCAGTGTATATACAGTATTACACTGTCTGAAGAATGAAAACTCCACCAAAAAGCTGAACCAGCACTCGGCCAGACACAGAAATCAGTCACATGACCACAGTATACTGCTGCTGAGAAAAGGTATTTAGCGTTTTCACTTTACTAAAATAAATATATTACCATGTTTTATGTACTGTAGGAGACCTTATATTGTTAATACAGTGTCATGAGTCTAGTATCACTTTCAGCTGTATAACACTGGTAGCATTTATGTTAACAACAAATATAGAATTATATATATTTAAGAAAAGAATGTGCATATGCTTATAGCAAAATAGTTTCCTCTTTTGGAAACTAGTGTAAGGGGCCAAAAAAACTGAAGACCAAGAATCACAAGAGTGGGGAAAGATCCTCGGAGGGACATCATCCAATAAAGTGTGGTTGACTCCTAAGCTTATAGCCAAGGGTCATATTTCTCTAGTGAGGGTGGATGTTTGTGAAAGAGGAAAAATAAGAGGGGGTCACAGAGTGTGAACAGAAGAGTACTGCAAGGATGGACTGTTTGCATTGAGCACTTTTATATTTAAGCACTTTAAAGAAAAAGGGGACTTTTTCATTAAAATTATTGGACGTGTGTATATAATTTGATGTATTGTTTAGGAAGTGTTGATTAATTTTATGTATTGTTAGAAGGCACCGTTTATTTATAGGGCAGCACTGTGATACATATTTTTTTGAATAAAAGCTATAGCACCCCCCCCAAACCACATCAGCCTACGCCTATCAGACACCCCCGCCTCCATTGGAGTGGAGAAGGGGACAGTGCCAATAGCAGAGCACGCCAAAATGTTTGTGGCATGCAATTAAATAGCACCAATGTTAGTAGTACACTACAGTGGACTGAAAAGTTTAGGATCAATGCACAAATATTGTGCTAACAGCGGTGAAGGAAAAAAAAAATGTCCCTGGGCTGGTGGTGTAACTGAAAGGGAAAAATGTCTCTACGTGACGGGTGTCATTGAAATGAAAAAAATGTGTCAGTGGTGTGATTGGGAGAAAAAAAAAAAAATGTTCCTGAGTTGGTGGTGTTAATGGAGGAAAAAATGTCCCCGAGTCTGTGGTGTCAATGAAAGGAAAAAATGTGCCAGGGTCTGTGGTGCCACTGAAAAGAAAAAAAAATTTCTCTGCATCTGTGAGGTCACTGGAAGAAACACAAGGATACTGTAAAAAGAGAAAAATTGCCCCAATGGCACTCAGCAATATACCTAAAATTTACTGGTATAAAGATAGGGCTCAGAAGTGGAAGGATCTTCCGTTGACGCTGTTGGGCAGGATTAATTTGTTAAAAATGATTTATTTGCCTATATTTCTCTATATTCTCTCCAATGCTCCAGTATACATTCCAAAAGAGGCTTTATATACATATTGATTCACTGCTTTTTTGTGGAGTTCCAGGGTACCCAGGGTGTCCCTGGAAATTTTCCAACTTTCAATAGAAAGGGGGTCTGGCGCTGCCAGATCTTCGTATGTATTATTTTGCATCCCATCTGATGTGCATTGGCGAATGTTCCCTCAGTTAAATAATGCGGCAATGGCAGTTGAAGCGGCGGTGGTTTCCTCCTATGAGGCATTGCTGAACTTTTTCTATAGAGGGGAGGTCCCTACTCAAGGGGGCAAGTCCACTCTGGCTGTTTTAAAGACTATACAAAGGTTGTGTAGTAATCAAATTTCAGATGAGTACCTGTGTCATTCGCCGAGTGCTCCACTATGGTATAATCCACATTTGGAAGAGTTTTCTAAGCTAAATGAGGGTCGTAGGAGGGCACGATATGGGATAAAATACCTCTGCCATTTATATGAGGATGGGAAATTTCAATCCTTTAGACAACTGCGGACTCACATTTGTTCTTATCTGTATATTCCCTCTAAGATTTTGTACCAGACATGGTTTTATACAGACCTGTTATGCTGTATATGTTTGTGCATATGGCAATAAAACTTAAAAAAAAAAAAAAAATGTACTGGTATAGTAAAGCAAATAGCCAATAATGCATGTACAGTACATATGTATTAGATATTGAGCTATTCCTCCAAGACTAATGACCAACACTAAATCAGGCTCAGATAATGCAACTTGGTAGAAGAACAGGGGGACTAGTGTGCATAAGGGAAAAAAAAAAAAACAAGACAAAAGAAAGTATTGCAAAAAGATCCTGATAGTGTAGGTCGAATTCTGAATTATTAACACAGCTTGATGCTTTTCTCTGAAATTATGCAGACAAAGCCTGGACTCATTTTAGATATGCCAAGAGGAGCAGCAGACAGAGTAATGTTTATTGTAAAATGAGGCTGAACGGAGCACAATTATGGATCTGCAAAGAAAATAGTTTAATCACTAACTGGAATCACCTAGTCATTTGAACACTATCATCATGCACAGAGACCCATATGTAATATCTGTAGAAAACTTGTGAGCTGATAGCTCAAATTCAAACACATCAACACTAATGCCCCGTACACACTAAGAAAATCGGACAAACATATTCATCCGACGAGCAATCGTGCAATTTTCTGACGGTGTGTACATCATTTTCGACAGCCGATTCCGGTCTTACGAACGAAAATTAAAGATGGTGCAAACATCAAAATTTTTGTCATTCGGGAACAGAACGAACGATTTTGGTTTAATGTGTACTGTTTTCGTACGAGAAGAATTGGATACGAAAGACCGTGCATAAATCGGAAGCTGCTTATGACCCAGAAGAAACTGAAGAAAATAAACACCACGGAATATGATATATTTTCAACAATAAATTTTATTATGGACTATATACCAGGTTACAAAAATAACCATAACCTACAGGCTAACCATAACCTATGGCTACAGGGTCACATGTACATTACATCACTTCCACAGCTACGCTACGACATTCGTACACAATGCCTTTATTGTACAATAATTTTTCTCATGCATAACAGCACATCGCTATCAACAAGCTGCGTACAATGGATGATAAATCGGATTTTCTTAGTGTGTACGGGGCATAACAATCCACGTGTTCTAACATGCAACATATTTATGCAATTAGTGTTTAAATGCTAAATAAAAAAACATTAATACAGGAACAAGACTTACTGTTTTTTGCTCAACCATTTTCAACTGAGGACTAGCTGTAATTGCTGCAGTTTGGCGGTTACTGTTTGCAAGTGCCAATTGCAAGTTTCTGCCAATCACTTCTGACAAAGGGGTGCTCTGCATTTTGCTTCTTCTGTTTGGGACCACCCGGAGTTTCCAAAGCTGCCAGAGCATCCTGTTTGGATTTAAACACATTTTTATGTAAAAATAAAATTCATTTTAAACTGGAATGTTTTGTGCATATAAAAAAACACAGTTTCAGAAGAGCTAATATATTTAGACAATTCAAGACTTTTTAAAAATGAAAATAAAAAGGCAATCATCAGCTGGTAACAACAGGAAAAAAAATACTGGAAAAAAGTCAAAGAAAGATGCAAGACACACAGACTACAAATATGGTAATATGGCAAGTATCTTTTTCAAATAGTTTGTTGAACTTCAGAAAAACATGCAATTCACCCCAAAAAGAAATATTTGGCACCTCTGGGTAACAAAGACCATGTGATAGGGCTGGGCCAATCACCAAGCAGTAGCACTGTTACATGGGGGGAAATGAGTGACTCAAGTCTGAACCCATTTCTACAAGGGCACAACTAAAACAATTGTTCTTTATGTGTCCTGTTCAGACCACAACACTGGTATCGTGTGGATTTTTTTTCTGCGCAGGATCTGCAACATGTATGCAGTTTTCCAAAACTGATGTGACATCAACATTGTGGTGTGAACAGGGTGCATAGAGAACAATTGTCTTTTTGTGCCCTTGCAGAGAATTTATGGTACATATCTCTGCGCAGAAAAAAAAAATCTGCATGCCATACCAGTGTTATAGTGTGGACAGGATACATAGAAAACAATTTTCTGTGTGTCCTTGCAGAGATGTACATAATAAATATGTATGTCTCTGCAAATGGTGTAAATAAGCCTATGCAAGTCAAATATGCATGTTTTTTCATTAGCTTTTATGCACATATGGTGTAAATAGGCCTTACCTGTGGCAGTTAATCAACTGACATTTACCAACAATAGCAGAAGAGTGATCACGTTCCCACAAGTTATGCATTCTGCAAACCTTCTCATTGTTTTAATCCTGCACTGTTGCAGATAACAGTATTCATAGTGTTATTATTCAAAATCCAAAGTGATTCAAACAAAATGAAGTAAATGGATCATGCATTTTTTAAATGGAGCACAATTTCGTATAAATTGCACGAACATACAATGTGTTCAAACCCATCATCACATACGGCTTAAACTGACAATCATAATGGCCAACAATAACTACAAACTGTCAAAGAAACCTTTGCCTATGGTGGCAAATTAGTTCACATAACACCATACACTTATGTAAGCACCATAAACCACTGTTAGCCTAATACAATTTATTTATCAAAACAAAGTAAAGAGCAACAGATGAGTTCCAATTATGGGGAGGATTACTGAGTTGCTGCATATTCCCTGTATCAAACCATTTGCCTGATCGGTTACCACTTGCCACTGATCAATAATAGGCAATGTAACAAGTGCATGTTTGCAAGAGTTGCCTGAGCTGGGCCATGGAGGCCTCTAGTTAGAGGTGGAAAACCATTTTACTACAGCTTTAAAGCATGCCTCTATTACAGGACAGTATCAGCCAACCGAAAGATTACAAACAAATTATGCAAGCCATACCTTAACATCAAACGTTGGCTTGAAAAGTTTATCTCTGCATAAAAATTTTGAAGGTGTGTCAAGATGAAGAGAAGGCTCCCTCTGTGGTAATTTAGTTTCAACACCAGGTGTTGGAATCTTTTTGCTGTGCCTTGAAAGTACAGACTGGAATGCTTTGCTCTGGAATCGATTCATATCTAATGGGGTCACTGCAGATTTCTTCAGGGCTTCTGGACAATTAGCCATGGGACGGGACGGTGTATCCAATGATGGTCTTGCTACTACTGGCCTATATGTGTGACTTACAAAACTCTCTTCTTTATCTGGAAAAAAATTAAATGTGAATTTAAACAAAGCCTTTCCTTGAAAAATCAGCCCTTCCTGGAAGTCTTCAGTAAGGAAGTTGATAAGTCCATGAGAAGCTACAGAAGAACCCTTATATTTTATAACCTGACTTTTTTTTATTTATCATGAAAGATTCACCAATACAGCATAAGACAGTCAATAACAAAGTAAAGGTCTTAAGACTTTCCAGCATATCTAAAATGTGAAAAAAAACAGACTACAATCCATTTTTACAGAGCAACTTCTCAATCCGAGCGGATACCAACTGGTAGAAAGTCAGTGATGTGCCTTTGGGGCAACCTTTCAAACATTCCAATTACCTTAATGGGGTACACTACAAATATGGAAGGGGTACAATGTAGAGACTGGGATAGGGAGGGGGGATTAGGAGATAAGACTGGGGGACCTAGGATGAAAGAAAAAAAGAAAAGGCAGTGGGATGAGCATTTATCTTGCTGAGTACCATAACTATTTTCAGCTAAATACTAGTTTTCAACTGCAGACGAAACCTGAACTTTTTATTTTTTACAGGTAATTATATAGCAACAATTTACGCAGTGCTTTACATTTATAGTGTAATATTGTGCATTCATATCAGTCCCTGCCCTCATAAAAACATTGCTCCTGGCCCCTATAAAGTGGAGCATGCAAGAACGATACTGTAAAATTCCTTTATGAACACCACATTCATTTACATTTGCTCTATCATTTTAATAAGCTTGTTTTTACTGTTAAAGTAAAGAAGAAAACCAACCATCAACACTAGTGTTCTCCACAAGATATTGGTTCTCATCTGCTCTCTTCCCAGTTCTGGCACACAGTAAGAGCCAGGCCATAGTCACAGCAGGTAAATTCCACTTCTTAGCGGCTTCATATTTGGAGCCCTCAGGCTCTCGAAGTACAAGATGAGTGCTGGCATACATTCCTTTTTTCGGATTGGCCTTTCTTACAAAAAATTCTTGGACTCTGCAACATTTAAAATGCCCAACATTAAACAATAGGTAATGAAAGTGGATATAGAAACAGTGAAATGAATCATCAAAAATAAGAAAATAAAAGTTTGATGTATTCTTCCGGTACATGCCCAAAGGAAATTTAAATCACATGTTGTAATAACCTGAAATGATAATACAATGTAATACAAATAAACCAAAATATACAAACGAAAAAAGTAAACTTTCATACCAATATATTTCGCCCTTGCTGACTCCTCACAATTAGCAGGGTACTCCATCTGCCCACAAAAAAAAACTTATATACAAACATTCAAAGAGGAATCAACAGTATATATAGATATAAAAAATATTTTTACTTGGAAAATAATATTTTATCTTTTGGATACAAATAATATCCTATCTAGCTTGGTGATAACAATGTGCTCATTTCCCACTGTCTGGATTCCTCTTGGGATTTTTGTGTATAAACAAACTAACCTGGCACATCTTCTAGGGTGCTTCGCATCCCCTAATTAAAGTGTCAAACACCCAAACTTCTTTTTAAAGAAGCACAAAAATGTGAAAGTTAGGGTTCTCCAGTTGACTTAGTTAATAATTTGCTATTATTACCACATATGGATTAAATATGCGTAAGAGAATAATCCCTCTGTGGTGGGTTCACTGCACATAAATTAAGGCTGCCATGAAAATTATAAAGTTGAAACAGACTGTCAAGAGCTCAAAATAATGAAAGGGGTATTGAAAGTTTGACATTCAACAAAAATGTTCACTGCAGGTATATCTTCTAGGTGCATGCATTTTAAAATTGTAGTTACAGATTCACCAACAGAGAATGTTTGGTGAATACAAAACAAATATGCCCCAAAGTATACATGTAATCCCAATCTCTAAAATCTCAATCTTTAGCATGTTAATATATTTTCATTATTTAAAGTAAATCTGCAGCTTTCAATAAAATAGTAGCTGGTGATCATGCAATGAAGGTCTTTGATTAGACCCTTCCAGTTAGATCAGCCTCGCTTAACTTTTTCAACAAGGAACCATTAAAAGACCTTTTCAGTGTCAAAGAACCCCTATTAAAAAGTCTACGGCTCATGGTACATTAGCATGATGGTCAATAGGAATCATGCTTCTTACATTTGTGGTCAATGGGAAGAATCCCCCCTCACAGATAGCTAAAAAGATCATTGGGGTCAGTGGGGACTAAGAGGCAAATATCCCTTATGGTTCAAGGAACCCCTAGTAACCTCTGGAGGAAACCTAGTTGAGAAAGGTGTGTGTTTAGAGGGTGACAACACTCTGTCCCCATCTCCCAACTGTTTTCCTGCGCCGCCACCCTGCCACACAGGCTTTTGATGAAGAATAAAAGTGGCCATTTAAATCTACATTATGCAGACATGGTCCATTGTTGTCAACATCAGGAAACAGACTTTAAGAAATGCCATGCAGCCATTGCTGGACAGTATGCATGTAGACTAGCAGTGGCTGCAAAGTGTCTCAAGTGTGGAGATGTAATAGATGATGTACAAAGGTGAAAACAGTTTTCAGATAGTTTGCTAATAAAGTCTTAAACAAAGGCTTCATTTAGAAAAAATATCAATATCAGATGTTATACTCTAGTTGGCCACGCACACAGTGGCTCGCATTCTATGAACCATTCACAAAATGGAAGCCATGGTGTAGAGCGCGTGTTGTCCCAATAAGTTCTTAAGGGCTTGTTCACACCAGTTGTGGTGTGGCAACCATCCACATCTATCAAACGTGGTGCCACAGAAGACTATGGATTTACTGGAGAGCGCAATAGTGCCATTTGTTTTCAGATTGCTCAACTCTAATTGAAAGTCATAGAAGTTGTGTAGAGAATGAGGGGGGGGGGAAGTAAAACAGTCAGTCAGTCATCCAACACATACAGTATGTAATCAGAGCTTGGGCTACTAAAAGTGTTTTTCTCCAGAAAGCCATTAAAGAGGTTACTCAAGTTATGAAAATTCTTGGACGACAGATAAAAAATTTGGATGTAATGTACTGTATTTTAGGACAAAGTGTACTTAAACAAAAATCATAAGATCTGGTATTGTACTAGAAAAATTTTCGTGCTTGTCCCTTCAAATAATTTTGGACGAAAGTTATCAGATTATTGTAAGATCGCTTCAAAAGCTGAATTTTTCCTACAATTTTCTGATTGTGAGTACTAGGCTTAAAACAGAAATATGGGAGCTGCCATGACTTGACTTTTTAGTAAAATGAACAAGCTGCAGCCTAAAAATTAGATCCTAGAGAGAGTGACTGAGCTAGAATACGTATGCTGTCAGTGAAGAATGAATGTGTGAACTCCTGTCCCCAATACTCCTTTTCCGGCTCAGTGACACAAAAAAGCAGTGAAGCTGGGATAAGATGTAATGCGCCTGCACCATTACAAACAAATCAGCATGGCAGCTCCTATATTTCTGTCCACACAGATTAAGTTTATTAACCAGCCTTGCAAATGAAAAAAAAAAAATATGCAATTTACCATTTTCCCAAAATAAAAAGCCATATACCATTTTATGCTGAAAGGTAATCAAGAACATATAAGCAACACACCACATATTCCTTTTAATGTGAAAATACCACACATCCAGTAATGAAGATATACTAAAACTGTGCCAGTGCAGCATATGGTACACACACAGAATACATAGGACCCTAAAATTCTGAAAGAACGCAACAACACTGGCACATTTATATACAATGGTAGGCAACAACCACGGGCAATTACACAAGACACGTACTTGGCTCCAAGAAGACCTGCTAGGTAGACCAATGAATCCCTTTCGGCTCCCATAAATTGACTGACAGAGAGGACACAGTCATTCAGTGGTGTGCTACCTTCTAGATAGGTCACTGGTGTGAAAAGATCATTAGACTGAGGATCCAAAAGCTCTTCTTGTTCTATACACATTCCCTGGAAGATGAAAGATCAAACATTATGAAGAGTGTGGTGTACTGAAGAATTATCTAAATATTAAATGCCATAACTGGGCTACTGGTCAGTAACAGCCAGGGTCAGCAGCAAAAATCAATAATTTTCAGAATATCAATTAACTTAAGTGAACAAATAACGAATACACATATAGGATGAAGAAACTGTCTAGTTACAAATTCATTAAAAGCAGAACTTTATCCATAACAGCTGGATATAAAAATAATTTTCTTTGGCAAGGAACATACATTCCACATTAATAATTTTGCCACCAAAATTAGTGTGTAAATTTCCTCGAACATTGTTCTCGTTTCTTCTTGCTGGAGGCTGCCATTTTGCTGAAGTCCAGAACCCTTGAGCAGCAGTAAATCATCAGATTGACCTCTAAATTTTGAGTAGTGCCAAAAAATATAGAACTGAGCATGTGCAGAGCAGGGTGAGACACCGTATTACTGGATTTTAAACAGTATAGGCATGCACGGATACTCTTTTTTGATCGGTGAATACGAGTACCAATTACTTTCGGTCAAGCACTCACCGATACAGAGTACCGATACTTTGCGGTGCAATTTGCGTCAATACAAAATGTATAGACACAAATTGCACTGCAAAGAATAGCATGCAATTTGTACAGGAATGAGATTCCTGTCCAAATCGCATGTAGTTTCCCCACTGCTCCTTTGTGAACCCAGGCTTGTCATAGCCCGAGTTCACACAGGAGCAGTGCACAAAACCTCCCTGCACCAATCCCATGCTGAGCGGAAAGTGGGAGAGAAGGGCATGTGGGGATGTATACCTTGGTGGAAGATGCTCCAGATTCTCAGCTGTAGGAGAGAAGAGAAAGCCACAGGGATTTGAAATACGGCTGTCTCTCCTCTTCTTGCAGGGATGACAGTTCAAACTAGAGGGCTCTTTATTGGCCTTTTGATCGCAATCCTATTCAAATTGCATGCTATTCTTTGCAATGCAATTTTCATTTTGTATTGACACAAATCGCACTGCAAAGTATCGGTTTCTAATATATGGAGAATTTTCATGAGTACTACTGAAAACACTCAGTATCTGCACCAATACCAATATTGGTTTCGGTGCATCCCTAGTATAGCTACTTACTTTTAATGCTTTACATAGCTATACCTGCAAAAGGGGGCAACATGAAGTGATCAATCAGGTCTTATTTTTCTGACTATACTTCCACTTTAAGCTGCAGCCAAACATCCTACAAACCTGGATACACTCCAGAAGCCTCCACCTTTCTACTCTCCCACCATTCAACGGGCAGCCTCAGTGGCTCACACAAGGGATTCTCAGCAGCATAATGGGTGGGCAAAAAAAACCCTCCATCTTGTATCATTTCTCACTCCAAATCAGCTCCCCCCTCCCTCTCGGTTGAGTGACACGTGGTCCGTGAATGCTGAGTTCAGGAGTGCACAGGACACAGCTGGATATCCTGCATGGTTGTAAACCCAATTAACTGATTCCAGTGTGTCTGGCAAACTCTTGCTCTGAAGCTGATCGTAAAAGTATAAACCCGTCAGTCACTGGACTTCAAAAGCATTGCGGGATAGCAGTAAAACATATATCCCATGCAAAACACTTTTTCATGTAATTTCTCGTAGGTAATACATACAATAAAACAAGACATATATTCAGAGAGGTCATTTTAATACAAGTCACCTGATACCTTACACTCCTAGATTACGTCTACCCGAGAGCAGAAACTGATATCTCCTTAACCGTCACAGGCAGATATGTCATATGTGATGTCTGGACGTTCAGAATATCGTTTGCATATTATCCTGCCAGTGGATCGGATGCTACATGTACCTAGGGAAGGTTATTGACCCTGGTATAACTTGCGAGGGATTTTGGTTCTAGCCTGGGTCTCCGCCGAAACCCCTCCCCCTCCCCAAATGAGACGATTGGCCCTTGGCTTCAGAGACACCCCCTGCTGGGGAACTACAAAATAGGCTGTCAGGCTTGAGAGAGAAGTTGAAGAATTCTCCCTTTTTAACATCAGGAACCAACTTGGGAGAACGGGACCCTTTTGTTCAGGACCTTGATCTGCTTTTAAACCAAGACTGATGGCAAGTATTCTACAACTCTAAACTTCTGTTATCTCTCTGTTGTGGTATTTGCTCTCTGTATATATATATATATATATATATATATATATATATATATATATATATATAAGAATCCCTGTCTCTGAAGAGCGCTACTGTGTTTTAAAACTTCTGTATACATCTGCCTGCGGTGACAGTGTATATACAGACGCTTATTCAAACATCATAGTGTTATTGCTAATATTGGCGAGTTTCCTCCTACTCTGTACAAAAAGGTGGTGGTGGCAGTGTGAAGGGTTAATTGCGTAATTAACCTGACCCAGTAACAATCGCTCTCAGGCTGCAGCACATAGATTGTGGTCCATTAGCTGTAAAATCTGTGTGCAGGGTGCAGCTGAGTGTGTCGGCATTGTTACGTAAAAATCGCGTGACAGCGCGGTTTTTTAGATTGGTTAGTCCTTCGGTCACAAGTTAGTGAGAAGGGCTGGGGGTCTGAGGCCGCGACCGTCACACTGGTATCTGCTAGAGTGGGGATTTTTGGGTAGAAAAAAAAAAAATTTTATATAAAAAACACAGAAAAGAATACCTACACACCCAGGTGTGTTTGTGATATCCATTCCAGAAAGGATCATGGGAGCATTAAGATAGCATAATTTCTTACCAACCAAGCATTGGTGACCACTTCTCCAACAGTAGCCTCCACCTCACAGCCCAGTAGAGGTACCACAGCATAATCAGCAATGGCTCTCTTATGAGTGGAGAGCACTTTACCGGCATTCTTTTTAACGATCTCTATGAGACAAGCTTCATCTTCTTCAACAAAGCCCAACACCAGAAAAGACTTCCTGCTAAACAATCCACCTTCAATTATAGTGGAAGTTTCCCCCAAGCCACTCTGGCTTGGAAAAGATGACATGTTATCCTGCGCAGTCATTTGAGAGAAGCTGCTTTGTTTGGTCAGCTCAGGATTCCCTGGTCCGACTAGAAGAAAAAAAAAAAAATCAGTCCTTATTAAGTATAAAATATACAATACTCTTTTCTGAAAGAAATTTCTATATCCATCTATCTATATCTATCTTACCAAATGTGGAATCATTTTCTGCATACTGAGATAGCAGGTCTTCATCAGCTTGATGCATTCGTGTGAGGTTGGCTGATTTTCGAACATTTGTAGTGGCACTGTTTGCCTTGCGAAAAGATGTACTGAGAACTGGTTGTTGAGCAGTGGCCTGGATTTCAGCTGGCTTATAACAAGAGTGGGAATATATGTCCTCAGGCTGCAAGGCACCCTTTGAAAAACTGTCTAGTAGCCATTTTACTGTTAGTACATAAGGCCTGAAAGAAAAAAAAAAAAAGGCAATCATGCTATTGCTAGTTGTAGCCAGACTGCACTATATCAATTGTCTAGTGAAGGTCAGAAAATAATACAATTAGAAAGATTCCTACAGGCATCACTGATATTATACAGTCCCTTTTATTTTTAAGTTTAGAGCGCATTCACATCTATGTGTTAAGCTTACACCAAAGTAAAAATGCATGGCATGTGGAAAAAAAACAGGACACAACCTTGGTAAAAAAAACTGCAGGGCTTTTTAAAGGATATATATCACAATACATTAACTGCCACTGCTGGCCTGCTCATGTAAAAAAATATCTGTTTGTCTATGATTTTTGTAGAGACTGAGCTTTTAACCAAACACATTCATGCATCAAATTAAGTCTGCATACTTATTCCAGTTTATTGATTCAGAATGCATTGTAGACAGAAAGTCACCATCACAACCAGGGACTAGAGTTTTTAGAAGGGGTCAGCAATGGCTGCTCCACAAGCACAATGGAGTCTTGACAGAAGGGGTAGGAGGAGCTGGTGGGAGGATGGGGGGGGGGCGTATTGGACTCTTTCCTTCCCATCCCCCACCGCCTTGCGTTACAATTATTTCTCACCTGCACTCTAGCTTCCACCAATTTAACCGCATGCCGCCCAGCCACTGTACATATATACGGCGGCAGGGCAGCACTCACAGGCAAAACCACGTTTTAAAACGTGTGTTTTGTAAACAAATAGGGGGCACGCCGCCGCCCTATTTGTACCGCGGATCACCGCCGCAGATGTCAGTCGCCGAGTCACAGCCGCTCCTTAGCGGCTATGTCCCGGCGATCGGCAGAAAACAGTGACAGACAGCACAGCTGAAGTAGCTGTGCTGTCTGTCACTTCCCTGTCAGCTCGAGGATGAGCTGATCCAGAAAGAACAGTTTCTCTTTCTCGATCAGCCTTGTCCGGCCCAGTACACACCCCCCCCTTAGCCCCCTAGTAAAACACTCCCCTCACTCCTATAACCCTTTCCTGCAAAATAAAGTTAACACCTTCCTCCCCATTGCCATTAGTACAGTGTCAGGTTTTTTTTTTTTTGCACTGATCACTGTATTAGTGTTTTTGGGGATGTCAGTGACCCCAAGTCAGTACCCCCCAATGTCAAAATGTCCGCCGCAGTCCCGCCATAAGTCCCTGATCCCCGCCATAATAATTCGCTGATCGCCGCCATTATTAGTATAAAAAAAAACCTAAAAATCCCAGTAGCTTTCCCGCCATTTGTAAACGCTATAACTTTCACGTAAACCAATTAATTTACACGTATTGGGTTTTTTTTTTTTAGCAAAGACATGTCGCAGAATGCATTTTGGCAGAAATTTATGACTAAATTTGATTTTTGCATTTTTTTTTTACTGGACATGTTTTATAGCAAAAAGTCCAAAATATTGTTTTTTTTTTTTTTTCCTCAAAATTGTTAGCCTTTTTTTTTTATAGCGCAAAAAATAAAAACCGCACAGGCGATCAAATACCACCGAAAGAAAGCTCAATTTGTGGGGAAAAAAAAAAAATATGTAAATTTCATTTATGTACCATATTGCATGACCGCGCAATTGTCCGTTAAACTAGCGCAGTGCTGTATAGCAGAAAAATGGCATAAATTGCAGTATTTACACCATAGTTTGTAGACACTATAACTTCCACACAAAGCAATCAATATACACTTATTGGGATTTTTTTTACCAAAAACATAAATCAGAATACATTTTGGCCTAAATTTATAACCAACTTTGAGTTTACTATATATTTTTTATAGCTGAAAATATGGTTTTTCTTCAAAATTTTGGGCCTTTTTTTGTTTATAGCGTGAAAAATAAAAAGCGCACAGGTGATCAAATTAAAACCGAAAGAAAGCTCTATTTGTGTGAAAAAAGGACGTAAATTTTGTTTGGGTGCAGCATTGCATGACCGCGCTGCAATTATCAGTTGAATTAGTGCAGCGCCGAGTAGCAAAAAGAGGCCTGGCCATTAAGGGGGGTAAATCCTCTGGAGCTCAAGTGGTTAAAAAAATAGGCACAATAAAATAATAAAACCTATAAAATCATGTACCAGCATATGCAACAATATGCACTGTAAACACATGTGAAAGACCACTACCAAATCAGGATTAAATGTTTATGTTTGTATGCACACAGTTCAACAATATACAGATTTATCATGTTTTTTTCTACAACTTATCACACACTTCTATTAAAATTACTACCTTTAGTTAGAAGGATATTAACTCTCTGCAAAAATATGAGTTTGCTGTAGAAGGCCAATTTTCTAGTTCTCCGAAAATTCTCAAGGTAGAGACTTACAAACCTGTGGTCTGTCTTGTTCAAGAACTGCTTTAGATCCTCATCATTTTCACCAACGATAACATGAGTCACATCACCAGTGAGCTGATTAAAGCGCACTCCTCCTCCACAGTTAATGAGTTTCCTCAGCTTATCCAGTTTTCTTCCCCCAAAGCCACACACATATATCTGTCAACAAAATCTCAGAAATTTAGAAGGCCACAGGTATAGACAGACACTCTATAAAAACACTTTTGTACAGCACACCCATGTAAAACACAAAAAACCTGCTCCCACAAATCCCTGAACCCATACAAGATGGAAAAAAGGGAACCTGTAGTAAAAGAAAATTTACCCCCTCAGGAATCCCAGGATTCCAAAACTTTCCATTTTGCATGTGATATTTCCCAACACTTTAGTAGCTACTTAGGTAGGTAAGCAAAATGGATTGACAGTCCTCTGAAATATAACAGTCAACAGTTGCAGATGTCATTCTTTTCAAAAGCTTCTTCTTAAGTTTCCTACAAGACAGATCATTATGGGCCTAAAGATGTCATTTAAAAAAAAAAAAAAAAAAAAAAAAAAGGGAAGAATGGAATGCAATTAAGGTAAGGTAGCCTAATTAATTTATCTCAGGATAGGTTTCCTCTTGTAATTCTGTGCATTTATAGAAATGCGCTAAATTTTATGGTACTAAAATAATATTAGTGCTGAAACAACTATTCAACATAATCAATATTGATCAATTATAAAAATAGTTGTCAACTATTTTCATTATCAATTAGTTGGTCGGCCGATTAGTTGGCATGCATACAGAATGCATTATTTTTTTACATGTCAGTATACACAGAGCAGCACACATAGCTCAGTATACTGTTCATGCATGTCAGTATATACAGTGCAGTACACATAAAGCTCGGTATATTGTTCATACATGTCAGTAAGTGCCTGAGAACTTGTGAATGTATGAGAAGCAACGCTTCATGGGACGTCCTGGGCGGGAGAATGAAGTGATGCAAGGGCTCTGTGCAGGGAAGATCAGCATCTGGAGGCTAGAAGCCTGGAGGTAAATTAAGGCATTACAATTACATTTAAAAATTTACCAGTATTGTGCATTATATTTAAGAATGATTATATCTATACAAAAATGTTGCAGCCTTTATTAAAAAAAAAAAAAAAAAAAATACCCTATTATCTATCCTGAGTATATTAATTATATACAGTACATACAGTATGAGGTATATACATTATTACTTTCACTGTTTCACAGTATAAATCAACCCCTTATAGTAGCGATTTGTTCTTGTACTGTAAAAGAGCTAGGATTTGGCTTTTAACCCCATCACGGTGATACAAAAAGCATGCTACTGCTACTAAAATGTCTTAGTAACAGCAGGCACAGTTAGCTTGTAATCAATTTACCTGCCTATGACAAGAGACTTGACTCTTGTCATGCATAATATTATATCACCGTTCTGTCTGGAAATCTGCAAAACAGTGTTTTAGGCCTTTTTAATTTTGTTTTCATTTAAAAAAAAATTTGGATCTCCGAGTCTGATGATATGCATCAGGTTCAACCTCTACAAGTTCATATATCTCTTCTGTTATTCTGAGAGTGTATTAGATATTTGGTTCTCTAACCATATAGCTGATTATTTATATTTACCATTGTATATAGATATTCAAGAATTTGTTTACTTTACATATTAACAAAATTGCACATCACACTTTTTTTTTTTACTTCCAGCTGTGTTTTTGTTTTTGTGTTTAATTTGCACAGTTGTGTAATGTTTGTTCATTAAATTATTATAAATAAAAAGATTACAAAAAACATGGCATATTGAGGTTTTTTTCCAATTAACTGAAACATTCATCCAACTAATTGAATACAAAAATAATTGTTAGTTGAAGTCCTAAATAAAATAGAGTAGTACTGTACAGTACAGACATTTCAACCTTATGAGACAATAAACAAAAGGAAGCAATATATTCCCACCCTGCAGCCATCTAGGAGATCTTCAGGGGCCTGTACGGAACTCAGATCTAAGTTCTCTAGAGTGTCATTTGGAGGTTCCAGCCTGGTACTCATCACAGAATTAAAGGCAGATTCATTAACACAACAACTAGTACTTATATTAGATATGTGGCTGACATCAGAAAGTGCCCGATCTGCAAAAAAATATAAATCAACCATTATGAAAAAGTGCAGAAATGTTATAGGAAAGAGTATACCATCAAAAACTATGGAACGAGTTTTGAATAAAGACCTATCAGCACCACGTCAAAGTATATAAAACCTAGTTCAGAAATGTTTATTATTTAAAAATAAATAAAAATACATACATACACACTGGATATAAAATGTCTACACACCCGTTAAAAATGTCTCTGCGATGTAAACAAAAAATAAAAACAAAGAAATCATTTCAGAACTTTTTCCACCTTCAATAAAACCCTACAACTCAGTTGAACAACAAACTGAAATCTTTTAGGAGAAGGGAAGTAAAAATATAAAAACTAAAAAAAATGGTTGCATAAGTGTGCACACACCTAAACTAATCCTTTGTTGAAGCAACTTTTGACTTTATTCCAGCACTCACTCTTTTGGGTATGAGTTTATCAGCATGGCAATCTTGACTTGGCAAACTCTTCCTTGCAAAAACACTCCAAATCTGTCAGATTGCAAGGGCATCTCCTGTGCACAACCCTCTTCAGATCACCCCACAGATTTCCAATCGGATTCAGGTCTGGGCCATTTCCAAAACTTTCATCTTCTTCTGGTGAGCTATTCCTTTGTTGATTTGGATGTATGCTTTGGGTCATTGTCATGCTGAAAGATGGTAGTTCCTGTTCTTGTTCAGCTTTCTAGCAGAAGCCTGAAGGTTTTGTGCCAATACTGATTGGTATTTGGAACTGATCATAATTCCCTCTACCTTGACTAAACATGCAGGCCATAGATGGGGTCGAAAATCGGCCGATTTTTCGGCGAAAAATAAAAATCGGCCATTTTCAAGGATTCGTTAGTGGGCGATTTGGTTCGGCCGTTTTTCGGTATTTTGGCCGTTTTTTTTTTTCGGTAAGTTGGAAAAAAAATCGGCCGATTTTGCCGATCGGCCGATTTTACGCGGCAATTAGTGGGCAAATCGGCCGATTTTTTTACCGATAAAAAATCTGGCGCATGAGCAGTGACCTGCAAGAGGAGAAGACAAAAGAAGAAAAAAGAAGAGGAGGAAGAAGAAAGAGGATGAGGATGAGGAAAAGAGAGGATGAGGGATGAGGATGAGGAAAAAGAAGAAGGATGAGGAAGAAGAAGAGGAATGAGGAAGAAGAAGAGGATGAGGGAAGAAGAAAGAGGATGAGGAAGAAGAGGATGAGGAAGAAGAAGAGGATGAGGAAAGAAGACGAGGATGAGGATGAGGAAGAAGAAGAGGAAGAAGAGGATGAGGTTGAAGAAGAAGAAGATGAGGATGAGGATGATGAAGAAGAAGAGGATGAAGAAGAGGATGATGAAGAAGAGGATGAGGATGAAGAAGGAAGAATTGGATGAGGAGCAGAAGAGAAGAGGATGAGGATGATGAAGAAGAAGAAGAGGATGAGGATGATGAAGAAGAAGAAGCGGGAAGAGGATGAGATGAAGACGAAGAGGATGAGGATGATGAAGAAGAAGAGGTGAGGTAATGAAGAAGAAGAGGGATGAGATGAAGACGGCAGGATGAGGATGAAGAAGATGAAGAAGAATGCTGAGGTGAAGAAGAATGAGGATGAAGAGGAGGATGAGGAAGAAGAAGAAGAAGAAGAAGAGGATGAGGATGAGGAGAAGAGGATGAGGGATGATGATAGGAGGATGAGGATGAGGATGAAGAAGAAGAAGAAGAAGAAGAAGAAGAAAGAAAGGATGAGGATGAAGAAGAAGAAGAAGAGGAAGAAGAGGATGAAAATGAAGAAGAAGAGGATTGAGGATGAAGAAGAAGAAGATGATGAGGATGAGGATGAAAAGAAGAAGAAGAAAGAAAAGAAGAAGAAGTAGGATGAAAATAAGAAGAAGAATCCAGTCCAGCAAAAAAGTGTCCTCTGCAGAGTGCTCCGCTATTTGACAGTTCTCTGACAAGTTCCCTTGACATTTACAGCGGTTGAAACATGTATCTATTTGTTTCCGAATAAAAACATCTGTATCCTAAATGGAAACAAATAGATACATTGTTTTGCAAACTTCTATAAATGTCAAGGAACTGTCAGAGAACTGTTCAAAGGAAATAGCAGAGCTCTCTGCAGGGACACTTTTTGCGGCTCTAGACGGGTAGAAAATCGGCCGATTTTTTTTTTGATGAACGTGGGCCACTTGAGCAACGGATTTTCGTTTTTTAAAGAAAAAATCTGCAGTTTTTCTCCCATCTATGGCCTGCACTAAGGCCCCAGTTCCAGCTGAATAAAGTAAAAAAACAGCCAAAGCATGATGCTGCCACCACCATTGTTCACTGTGGGTATGGTGTTCTTTTGGTGATGTGCAGTGTTGTTTTGCGCCAAAACATATCCTCTTGGAAATTATGGCCAAAAAGTTCAACCTTGGTTTCATATGAGACCATAACACACATTTTCCCAAATGCTTTTGGGAGACTTCAGATGTGATTTTGCAAAATGTAGCCGGGCTTGGATGTTTTTCTTTGTAAGAAAAGGCTTCCATCTTGCCACTCTACCCCATAGCCCACACATATGAAGAATACGGGAGATTGTTGTCACAAATACCACACAGCCAGTACTTGCCAGATATTCTGGAGCTCCTTCAATGTTGCTGTAGGCCTCTTAGCAGCCTCCCAGACCAGTTTTCTTCTTGTCTTTTCATCAATTTTGGAGGGATGTCCAGTTCTTGGTAATGTCACTTTCGTGCCATATTTTCTCCACTTGATGACAGTCTTCACTGTGTTCCATGGTATATTTAATGTCTTGGAAATTCTTCTGTACTCTTCTCCTGATACCTTTTAACAATGAGATCCCTGTGATGATTTGGAAGCTCTCTGCGGACCATGGTTTTTGCTGTAGGATGCGACTAAGAAAATGTCAGAAAAGACCTACTAGAACCCTGAACTTTATTTGGGGTTAATCAAAGGCACTTTAAATGATGGCAGGTGGGTAGACTCCTATTTAACATGATTTTGAATGTGATTGCCTAATTCTGAACACAGCTACATCCATAGTTATAAGAGGGTATGAACACTTATGCAACCACAATATTTTAGTTTTTTTATGTTTACTTCCCTCCCCGAAAAGATTTCAGTTTGCTTTTAATTGAATTGTACAGTTTATAGGTCACATTTAAAGGTGGAAAAAGTTCTGAAATTATTTATCTTTGTCTCCATTTTTTTACATCACAAAACCCGGACATGTGTAGACCTTTTATATCCAGTGTGTGTGCGCGCATATGTATGTATGTATATTTAATTTTTTTTTTTTACTTATATAGCCAGGGACACCTGAATAAAATGTAAAGGCTTGTTCACACCAAATGCAGTCTAGTGCATCTTTATTCTGCATAAAACAAATGAATGCGCATTGTTTAACATTAATTTCAATGGCCCTAGTTCACACCAGTGCAGTCAACAAAAGTAGAGTACATTGCATTATTTTTCAGTATGGAATGCATTTGAAAACGTGACAAAAAAAAAAAAAAAAAAAAAGACCACCACCACCACAACACACATGGAGGGTTATTTACTAAAGCTGGAACGTGCATAATCTGGTGCAGCTCTGCATAGAAACCACTCGGCTTCCAGGTTTTATTGCCAAAGCTTAACTGAAGTTAGACGCGGATGGCTACTATGCACAGCTGCACCAGATTCTGAGTGCAACAGTTTTAGTAAATCCTTCCAGTGTTGTCAATTTTCTTCAATTCAGAAAAAAAAAAAAAAAAAAGCATGGGAACGCATCAAAAAATGCACATGGAGAAACACATCAGAACACAGAAATTGTGGTGTGAACCAGCCTCAAAACTTTGGCACAAGAAATGAAAAGCTAGACAAGAAAAAATCCTGTGTTGATGATGTCTATATTACATGCTGAGATGACTCTGCTAAAATTAACTTAATATTTGAGATATCCCAATAACCCATCTCTTATAAGGGGCTACTGTATCATCAGAAGAAACACATTTGTGAACTAATGAAGATGGCTACTACATATCTTATAAGAAGTTCACTTTCTTTTTCAGGAAAATTATGCTTATAAAAAGAACAGCTGTATTCCTGTAACCAACATTAAAACACGTTAATTCACCCACCTTAGCACTTCTGGACATGCTTTGAGTATGGCCGCAATACAAGTCTGTTCTCACTGCACAGAACTGAAGAATATTCGTGCTGGAGAGACTCTAAATTTTGGAGTAGGATGCAGATGTGCTAGTGAGGTAGGTGTTTTAATTAAAGGATAAGCTTTTAAACATGTTCCAGCCAGTGGTAGAACCACCAGGGTTGCAAAGGTTGCACTAGCGACTGATCCCTTTCGCCACTGTGTGGGGGCCCCAATACAGCAGGACATGGTCCTGCTGTCGGAGATACGTGTTTCGGGATCAGTGGAGGCTCCCTTGCTGATCGCCGAATAGGATTTGCTGAGAACTGGGTATGCAGCACATTGATCTGCCCCCAGCGTGGACACAGCGCCCTCTGATATCAGCCAGCTCCTCTCCCCCAGACACAAGCTCGAAGTTCTCCATGTTGAGTGGACTCTGCGGGACCCATCATGGATGTCAACTGCAGCTCCTGAAGCCCAGTATGTGGGGTGGGGTTCTCCAATCTGAGATGTGGGGGGGGGAAATCAGCTCTCTGCACAAGTGGTGTACATGCCAAACTCCTCTCCTTCCTGTGCCAGGTGGAGTGGAGGTGGGCTGAGTGTGTGAGATCAGTGGAGGTGAGCCGTGTGTGTGGATGGGTGGGTGTGCATGCAAGCACACACACAGCAAGCCCTGTGTGAGCGCGATCGGCAGAGGCAGGCCCTGTGTGTGCGCAAAATCAGTGGAGGCGAGCCATGTGTGTGCACTTGATCGCTGGAGGTGAGCCATGTGCGCACGCAAGATTGCTGGAGGCGAGCCCTGTGTGTGCGATTGGTGGCGAAGCGAGACAGTGGCGGAACCACCAGGTCGCAAAGGTCATACTTTCAACTGGCCCCTGATGTTTAACCACTGTGGGGAATCCAAGACAGCAGGAAAGGGTCCTGCTGCAGGAGTAAAGGGCCACAGGATCAGTGGGAAGGGCCCAGGGACGATGAAAAAGGGCCCAGTGTGTCAAGCGGGCCCTTCATGGTTTCTTGCATCGGGCCCTGAAGGTTCTAGTTACACCTCTGGTTCCAGCACACCCACCCCCATCACAATGGGCAAGAGTTCATCTCCTCCACAGCTGCTGTCATATTTAAAATTGTCACAGCTCAACCTACACAGCCATGTCATTCATTCACAGAGATCTGTGAATGAAGAAACTACAAATCCTGTCTGCCACAGCTTGTAGTTTTCAATGGACTAGGAGTGTGTTGACGAGTGCTCTTGTAGTTCACTGAATCTTCCTCTAACTGAAAGCCTTTACAGAGGTATGGGCAGAAGTTAGCTGGAGCAAGAGTGTGCAGGAGCTTAACATTGCGCCTGGGATCCACTGATCGCGGGTGCAATAATTTGCAGGTGCCAATGTAAATAATAAATGCACATTTTTTACCTGTAAAAATATGTGCATTTAATATTTTTTAGTTAAAGGTAACTCAGCCTTTAAGATCAGTAGAGGAAGACTAGGGAGGGTGAATTTGTGTTAGTTTTGTTTAAAGTACACCGAAGGATATTTACCCAATGTATACTTACTATCAGGTTTATAACTATTTCCTGTTGGAGTAGATGTCTCTGGCATGATTTTTTCTGATGGTACAGGTTCAGTCTTGTACATACTTTCATCCTGACAGAAACCTTTCTCAATGCTGTCAAAAAACCACTGAATGGAAACACAATGCACATTCCATTTTCTTGCACATTCATATTTTTGACCTGTTGAAAGGATTCTAAAATTTACATTGCAAAGTCCATGGAGAAGGCTATATATCATTATTGTTTCTTCTTACACTTAGCATAGCAATCACATTTCATTTAGCAAAAATAAAAATACAATTACTCCACAGGCACAGTAGAGACTTGGCAGAAGAAACCAAACCCAAAATAACTAAATAAAAATTAATAAGCTCATTTAGGCTGCTTTCACACAAAGGCATTTTGAATCCTGGGCAGAATTGCCACGATTCTGCCCGAGATTTCAAAACGCTCTGCTAAAAAATTATAAAATCATGGAACTGCGTGTTCAGGTGCCATTCATTTTAATGGAACTTCTTTTGGGCGACAGTTTGCTGCGATTTATCAGGCGAAAATTGCTGCACAAACACACACCACATTTTCAGGTACCATTAAAATGAATGGCATCTGAACACGCGTCCCGCGATTTGTCATTTTAACAGAGCATTTTGAAATTGCAGGCAGAATCGCAGCAATTCTGCCCGCGATTTAAAAGGTCCATGTGTGAATGCAGCCTAAAAGAAAATAAAACCAGCTATTGCTGCAATATTTACGCTAAATCCAAAGATTTCCCATCTGTAGTTCTTTCCTGCCATTAGAAGTCCTCAGTCTGATGTCCAGCATTATTCAATCCACCTACTTCCTCTAAGCTCAGGTTGCTCTGGACTTTCCAGACCAACTGGCCAGTGAAAGGAGAAGCAGCTTAGTGAAGAGCTCCTCTTTCACTCAGCATTCTCCTTGTCAACACATTGTTTTTCTGTGCCAATTCTTCATCTCACACTCCAAATCTCCTATACAGGGACTGCAAGGAGGCTGATTCTAAGTTAAATTGATGCCATTACACTGCTTTCATTTAAATTAATTACTTTAAAGTAATTTATTCAGGAATGCAAAGCTTTTTTAATTTGTGTCTTTTATGCTCTGCTTTAGGTACCCATACATTCACCTTTGGAAGCATATTGCACAAAGGCCAGATCACACCTCTAAAACATGGCTGAAAACATAAATCGTCATACAGTTAGAGAATAAGCTGACCAAACAGACAGAAAAAAAGTACAAATCTAAAATCAGTAGATAATATACCCACAGAATGAGAGGAACTATGACTACCTGTAAATTCCATATTCTGGAGTACAATACAGGACACAGGCAGAGTATTCATACACCAGGTGTTATTGACAAGTACCGTCAGATGGTTGGAAAACTAGGCAAACATAACTGTGCCAGCAGGCCCCAAACAACAAGGGTCAGAACACCCACTTCAGAGAACTACTGCAAGAAATGCTGTGGCCAAAAGCTGCATCAGCAGAAGAATGGACATCCACCTGGTAAAAATTAAAAAAGTATGAACAGGAGACCAGGTGACGGCCGTACACAACTGGACTACACAGGCTCAGTGACAAAATTCACAGGAAACTCCCACCACTCTGGTGGAATAGACACATAAAAATGCAGTAGGACATTTCTCTTTGAGAATGTAAGCACTTGCAATCAGATTATGTATCCATCATGAGAGAGCGGATTGAAGATAGACACTAAAAAAGGAAAATAACTGGTTAAGCTATAGGAGATGGAAAAAAAAAAAAAAACACGATCACAAAACTGAAGATTCACAGTAGGGCATGGTTATAGAGGAGTGACCCAGGAGGCATGTGTAATACTTTACCAGTATCCAATCACCTGAAGGTACACGCCTATAACCCATAGTGCATGAATACTCTGCCAGTGTCCTGTACTGTACGATTAAGATAACAGAATTTATACTTTCAAATAAGGGATAACTACTTCAAATAATTCAGAACAATTGACTGCAATAATTGCAAAAAAACACAGAAAACTAGACATTCAAGAGGAAAAATGACAAAAAAAAAACTCCCCTCCCAGATTTGAATCTATAACTTTTTTTTGATTGTGCTTTATGTTTCCTTTCTCTCAGTAAGGGTATATGCACATCAGGTGTGGTGGAACTGCATCGGGTGGCTATGCCAGAGCAGTCCCACCCTACCCCCACCGCAAGACAAGGTAGAATGCCTGGTCTCTGATGCGGCCGGTCCACACCACTGTGTTGTGGTGGTGTGCACTGAAGAAAAAAAAAAAAAAAGTACTGCATGCAGTACTTTTTTCCTGGGCAGTGAAGTCGCCGCCCGCTGGCTGATAGAACTTTATCTTATGTGACTGTGTGACATTTCAATAGAGTTTGTGTATATATAAAAAAAAAGTGAACAGTGTGATGTTCTGCGATGAGTGCATCTGCACTGTCTGCATCGCAACGCAGTGGCTAACGTGAATGGACCCTAAAAGGTGCTTTTAGACTCATTAGTTCTTCTTTAAGGATGGTAAACATCTAACAGTTAGCAGGGTAGTATCCAATAAAAAGAATAATACACAAATACACACACACCAAGAAAATATAGAAAAAAAAGAGTAAATATGTAATCAAACATTATTGGACAAGACCACCCCCATGCAAAGCAATTATATCTTAAAATGAACATAGCAACTTTAATGCTAAACTGAAAAGTGGAGCCTTTACCTTTTGCCTCTTGCACAATAAGATGTGTGGACTCATTCATCTTCAGCTGTCCTGTATACTGTCCTCCATGTAAAGAGGTCAGCCTCTGAACCTCTTTCCTATCCAGACTGCTTAACCCAGTTACACATATGGTGCAACCAAGGAAAATTGGACATAAATATGGCTCCAAGTCTATATCTTTGTAGCTAATTATCCTACAAATAAATAGGTGAAAAATAAATATGAGCAGGATGTAATTAACAATAGATCTGAAATAATACAGCATGACCTTAATATGTACCTCTGCTGTGACTTATCCCACAGGGCCTTCACCCATGTAGGGAAAAGAATGGGTTTCTTAAGACTGGCTGCCACAAGGTATTTCTTGCTGCCCACTTCACCAGCAATCAGATGGCTGACTGAAACATTAAGATCTCGGTAGACACATCCACCCAACATTATCTGAACATAGAAATGAACCTCTTCCTGGAAATAACAAAACAATTTTAATGCATACTCTTGTAAGACCGCTCGAAAAATCTAACGCAAGAAATGATTGTGCTAGAACACTTTTAAAAGAAAAAAAAAAAAAAAAACACCTTACCCTGGTTTCTTTATCAAGGCTTGTGCACGAAACTGTGACATCTGCCATTGCCATATTGAAGACAGGATGCTCTGCTCGTGGAACACATCTCTGATGCTTCATGCAGAATATTACAACCTGGGGTCCAACAATTCTACAAACCGAGCTGAAAACAAAAGGAATCATAAAACAAACCAGCACAGTGCAAAATCAGCTGTGAATAGCTATTCATGTTACAGACTCAACATAAAACCACTTTACCATGTTGTGGTTGGGATTCTACGGTAAGAAGCATACAATTATTTATACTAAGAAAAACAGATGAATATGACACTACATAGAACATAGTCAGCCTTTCTAAACCTTTTCAACACCAAGAAACCCTTGAAATAACTTTCCAGTCTCAGGGAACCCCTTCTAAAAATGACTATATCTACAACTCATGATACATTAGTGTGATAGTCATTGGGAAGAATGCTCCTTACACTTGTGGTCACTTACAGATAGCTAAAAGATCCATGGTGTTAGTGGGAACTTATCCGAGAGGCAGAAATTGCGCAAGGAAAATATACAAAATACACTGATCAACACTGTTGGCTATAGACGGCGGCAAGAATTGAGTACAAATTTTTCAACAAGCTGGTTGTACAGCAGTACTTGACAAATAGATCTGCCAGAACCTGTAAAGCTTGCTCGATAGTAACACACTGGCAGGCCACTGCTTTGAGTCCAATGAGGGGGGACAGAGAGGGCAATGCTGCTCCTCCCGGGCACAGCGCTGGATTAAGTTCAGAGTCAGGTAAGAATTTAGGGGGTCTGGGGTGAGCTGCGCATAAAAGGTTTTTATACCTTAATGAAGAGATCTTGTAGATCAAATTAATGTGTTTGTCAGCGGATTCTGGGTCACAGAAGCGCACAGTATGCTGAAGTTCACTGTCTGTTGATGTTACAGAGCCACTCCAGGTTTGGGAAAGATCCTCACCATATTGTCAGAATCCACCCAGATGCTTGATTGGCTGCTGGCTCAGCCACAGCGCACATCTAAGAGCCGAAGCCAGCTGCTCCCAACCCCTCCTCAGCCAGATGCTCCAGTGAGTGCTGGCAGGGCAGAGCAGAGAGCTCAGAGCTGACCAAGAACTGAGAGATTAGTGGTCATGTGATCGCTCCATTCTTGGACTTCAAGCTGGCAGGGGGCAGCTGCAGCAACAGACCGATGCTGCAGCATTGGAAAGTATGTTTATGTATTTTTTTTTAACAATCCAAAAACTCCTTTAAGGATTGAACATCATCGACAGATTAAATTCTAGAATCTTTCATTATAAACTTAACAAATACAATATTTTTTTTTTAAATCACATACTTATACAATATGCAATAATACAAACCTTTTTTAGATGGTTAAAGGCAGCACCACTGAAAGGATCACATACATAGAGAGATTTGTCTTTTTCTTTTAAAGCGAGGGCCTCCTTTTCCTCAATTAACAGTAGATATTCATCTGACTGAAATGCCTTGATTTCCTGTAAAGTAAAAAAAATTTAAATATGTGCAGATACACAAACAACTTACTTGCCAAACACCAGAAAGGGAGAAAAGGATTTCAATGCTCAAGTAAAACATTCTTTTATGTCTATAAGAAAAAAAAAAAAAAGGCTAAAAAGGTGTGCTAGCTATACTGGTCTCAAAACCTCCACATGGGATCACTAAAGACAGAAGAGAAGGGGGAAAAAAAAGTCTTGTTCTTTCTGCCTAAAAAGTTGTGCAACATTGCAGCTGTGAACGGCTTGGAACAATGTGCTCCTCTTGTAAAATTTAAGTAATCTTCCAAGTTACAATAATAAAAAAAATTACACCCCAAAATACATTCTGCTACTGCTTCCGGAGTATGGGGATACCACATGTGTCAGACTTTTTGGGAGCCTAGCCACATACCAGGAGCCTGAAATCTAATGACCATTTTTAAAGACTGAAGGTGCGCAACTTCCCCATTTCACTTCCTCACTACGTATCACAGTTACGGAGGCCCTAAAATGCCAGGATAGCACACCAACCCCCTCCTCCCCAAATGACCTATTTTTGGAAAGCAGACACCCCAAGAAATTTAAAAAGAGGCTAGGTGAGTATTTTGCAGATTCTCATTTTTTTCACAAGGTTTTAAAATATAAATACAAGTTAAATATAAGTTATATAAATATAAGTTATTTTGATTTAATTTTTTAATTATTTTTACACTGTCCCTTTTTTTTTTCTTTAAATCACTTTTAATCACAGGGAATTCAAATATCCCCTATAACTTCAATGGGCATTGTCATATTCTTTTTTGAGAAATCTGGGGTCTATCAGACTCAAATATCCCCTTTGCCCTTACATTATCTAATCTCACCAAAATCTGTGTGATCAGATGCTTTCCCCAATTTTCAAATGGTGCTGTTTATATCCTGCGAAACTGAAGTGATTAAATGCTCGTAGCTTCCGATTTCTTAAGACTATATGTGAAATGTGCCAACAAATATTATAAAATATATATATGCCGAAGCATAGGGGCCATCCCCCACTGGTCACCCCCAAGCCCCCATGCTACGGCATAGATGCTCTTTTTTTAACTGCGGATGAAAAATCTCATCTAACAGCGCTGCCCACACTGACTTATGCATATTCTGAGAGCAAGACCCTGTTGCTGTCAGAATAAACAGGTCAGTGCTGCAGCTGAAAGCATTCCTGCAAAGAAAACAGCAATGGTTAACATTGAAACAGTAACAATAAAAGTGTAACAGTATTACAATAACAACAACAAAAAACTAACTATTTTTGGTTTTTAAAAGGTTTTATTTTTTGGGGGATTCGTACTTTTTTTTTTTTTTTTTTTAAGCTTTAACCTTTTAAAACAGATTGTAGGGTCTCTCCAAATGTGATAGCTAGTTTTCCTGACTATCTAACATTTTTTGAGACCTTGTGTAATTATGTATCCTGAACTGGGCCGTGCTGTTCCCTATACTAATACTCCACTAGTGTGTGATAGCAATGGAGGCAGTCCTTGAGGCAGAGAACAGATTGGCCAGGACAGAAAGAACAAAAAAAAGCAGGTATCATACCTCATTCCATGTCTGCTACACACACATATTTTTTGAGGTGCCTTTTGGGTTGGGGTACCAGGAATGGCATCGGGAAAATGACTCTCATGCAGCCAGCTAACTGCATCTGGGTTGGGGCATAGCACCTTCTGGATGCAAAAGGGCCATGATGATCTCTTCCTGGAATTTAGGAAGTATCCACTTCGTCCAGTTGCTTTGTAAAGCACAAAAGCGTTATATAGAGCCAATTGAAAAAAAATACTTTTTTTGTACCAGTGTCTGGCTTTCAGGGAAACTAAATAAGGCTTCATCATCTGGTCGTTGAAGTCCACCCCTCCCATGTTAAGGTTATAGTCGAGAACACAGAGGGGCTTCTCAACACCAGCTGCCGTGGTAATGTGGATGGTCGTATCTGTGTGAATGGAAGACAAGACGAAAACATCCAGTTTGTCCTTCCACTTCACTGCGAGCAATTCCTCATTTCTCAAGCAGGCTTTTTCCCCCCTAAGACAGGTATTTACAAGCTGTTGGGGAAGCCCCAACGATTAGGTCGTACAGTGCCACATGCGCCAATTCCAAGATTGTACAAACGTCTAAAAAATGGCACACTTGAATAAAAATTGTCTACATATAAGTGGTACTCCACATGGAAAAAGGATGACACCAAGTCCCAAACTATCTTGCCACTGTTTCCGCATGTAGTCTGGGCATCCGGACTACAATAGGGACTACATGTGACTATCTTTTACCTCGTAAATCCGAAACTTATATGTATATCCTGTTGACCTCTCACAGGTCTTATACATCTTGACCCATATCTGCCACACTTGCTGGGGAGAAATTGTTTTTTAATGCAAGACGGCCAGAAAAAAACTAATCAGGGACTCATCAACGCAGATGTTTTGCTGGGGAGTATAGACATCTGCAAATTTTTGGTTAAAGTGATTTACGAGTGGCTGAATTTTGTGGAGCCAGTCAAATTCAGGGTCACTCCAAGGGACGACAGAGTGTGTTGTCATTGAAATGCATAAAACGCATTATATTCTCATATCTATTTCTGGCCATGGCAGCAGAGAACACGTGCATATGATTGAATCGGGTCTGTGGACCAATACAACTGCAAAATTAATTTTTTTTTTTGCGGTTGTATTGCCCATGTTGAGGGTTAGGCCCAAAAAAAAAAAAAAACCTTTAAATTTGGAAACCGTAATGGTTTTTCCATGCGAATGGTCTGGCAAGGTTTCAATCTGGGTTGGCGGTGATAAAATGTTGTGCATATAAATTGCTTTGATCCACAACCAATGCATACAGATATTCTGTGATAAAACAGCTCCAAAAAATCAAGGGGAGTATTTCAATTTGCTGTTTCCACCTGAATTCCGGGTTTAGCAATGAAGTATGGGTGCTGCAGAATGTGTGGGTTGCCAATCGGGATCTGCAAGCACGTCTGGAAGGACACTATTCCTTTATTGCACAAACTGCTTGTTGTCATGCTCTCTGTAATCCTCTCTTGCATATGCTGCTCCACTCTACCTTCCATATTTCTTTCCAAGACACTCTTTATTAGCATGGTTTGAAAAAATCTGCACTTTATCAAGCTCATTTCAAAGAAATTCAAGCTACCATTAAGTAATAAAGCTTCATGACTTGTTCTGAATGAAAAAATGTAGGTACGTTCCTTCAATAGTGCTTCAAAGCATCTTATTAACAAGAAGGTTCCTTCCTAATATCTTCGCCTCTGCATCAATATGACGGAGGAAGTCCCAAGCTTCAACACTCCATATTAATTGTCGAACGTTCTAACCTATCATAGTGAGTGACGCAGGATTTAGTCACTAAAGGTAGGCATCTATTGACTGTTGCATATAGTGCTTAAGGAACTAGGTATTCCTGCAGTTCATACTAAGGTTCGTATTCTTATCATCATTGCAGGGTCTCTATTATATCTGTGTCCCATATGCTGGTCCCAATACATTTTACAGCTATACCTAAATTCCACTTCCCTATTCAGAACTTCTACCTCATGTGGCTCATTAGATTCCACACATTACGTATTGTCACCATGAATTGACTATAGCACTTTCACATATAAAGGGCTCATTTACCACTTCTTCGCCATTATAAACTAATAAAATAAAGGTGCATACCAAAAGGAAGAATATCAGATATCTTGACTATCACATAGTATAACATATAACACTAGATATTCTTCATACATGCATAAATAATAAATACACTATAAGGTAAATGGAAGCTGGTCCACATCCATTTCTGAAAAAAAAATTATCCAATTTTATTTTGTTTACATAAGGTTTTCATACCCACCTGATCATTCTGGGTTATTTCAATCACCCACACAATCATGTAAAATTATATCTAAACTATCACTACATATACTCTTTAATACTCACATACTTAACCCCCCCCACTCTCAATCAACCCACCTCATACGCATAATAAAAGCACTTGTCTAGCCAGCTCATAGGATCTATCAGATAAAGTGCAAGGTTGGTCTGGGGGCCATTCACCACCATTGTGACCAGGTTTCTATTACATTATGGCATATCTCAGACACACTTTGGGTCCTATCTTTTATTTTCTCATAGATACTATGCCTGTGCATGCGTCACCATTGAACACTATCCATATACTGGGGGTCATAAAAAGCAGAGCGATTTCCCTTACCACCTTCCCCCCCCCCCCCCCCCCCCCCCATTATCAACATCTTCTATCAGTCTAACATTTTTTTTTTATCTTTTCAGGACCCTTTTAACAGGATTTCAAAAATTATCCATCTTGATCAGGCAGGTTGATCTCCCATTTCTTTGACTACCCACAGGTTGGCTAAGCTCTCATGCACTCATCTACCCGATGCACTAACCCCCACTCTAAAGCAGGGGTGCCCCTGACCTATGGCCTCATTATCCCTCATTCCTCATCCTTTTAATGCAGGATTTTTTTTTAGCATCACTTTAATGTGCACTATACTAGGCATGATATATAGAACCCATTGGCTATAAGTGCTAATAAATTGACACCAAAGCCACAGGTACACTGTAAAAACACCCGCGGGGTACAGTTCCCTTCAATATACCCTTCAGTCTGAAAGCAATCCTTACAGGGGGCACATACCAGTATAGCCCATACCCTCTACCATTACTGGGACACCAAGGCCTTCAATGCAGCATCCTCTCATACATTAATACCTCTTCTACATTTTCTCCCTGGTATCCTCCATTACAGGAACTGTTCCTCCTTCCTTATCTTTTCCTTCCTAAAACCCCTATTAAAGCTATATTGATCCTCCATCCTTTCCTATACACAGTGTTCAGCCGGTATTTCGCCAGGGGAAATGTTCATTCCTGCTTAAACCCAACCCAATTTTATAAACAAATTCTGAACGGTTTCAATTTCATGTAGCCAAAATTTTTTGTTAAATCACTTAAGTAGCCACTCGCTATTCAGTACTTTCAACTCACTCCATATGAACTTAATATG